GACATAATTGTGGTTGATGGGGATTATTTTCGGTAATAGTTTACACTTGATCGGTATCGGGTCCACTACTTGAGTAGAGTTCGATCCAATCAACACCAACCCGACCATGATAATCCTGGATTGAAGGATGATGTCGATGGCCGACTAGAGATCAGTATCGGTTGCTCTGCTCCGACCACAGTAGGTCGGGACCGATCACCTGACCTTCGATACTTGGGAGCCTTGGGCCTAGCCTTACCGACAAGATTTAACGATAGCGGAACCCTATGACGTCAGGAATCTGCGAGCACGTGGACGGATCAACATGAACCATCAGCCTCGCCCTCTATATGCACCCCACATGCCATGCATGTCGAGAGACCGGTAGTTGTTCCCTTAATCTCCTTATAAATACCGCATTAAATGCGGTATTGAGGGACTTTTGGCAATTTCTAAACCTTTTACTTTAAGTCCGAGAACCTCTGACCTACTGGGCCACTGTCATGTAACTCGAGCTTAAGGATTTAAACCAACAAGTAGATTAAGAAAAGTGCCGAAACCGAACCCAATTGTAGTACTTTACGAATTGAGTTATACTACATGTACTCTCAAATTCTACTCCATCACCTGTACTCCATGACATGACAAACAAGTATTGGTTATTTTCATCATGTGGGTCCCAGGGAATGTCTCTACATCAAGAATTTGTGAGACGGAGTACAAGTTGGGAGTAAGAAATAGGAGTGCATGTAGTATTTTCCTTACGAATTAGTAGTATCCATCGTATTTACTACATCAGTGGTGTTGTTTGACCAACCAACCACAACTTGCCATGTCACTCCACTTGATACTTAGCTTATCATTGACAATAACTATCTTTTACTTTGTACCATAATTTGTACTAGGTTTGTTATTGTAACTGAATAAGAGCTATCCAACCACCTCGTGTCTACCGCTCTCTCGACCCTCTTATACTATATCCATAATAATGGCATACCTACTATCTATATATATGCATATCGTCTCTATATTTTTCGTAATGTAAATATAACATCTACTCTTAGTATAATTTACAATATCACTCATTGAAAATATATGCAATATTACTCTATACCAATACACATACGAAACTAAAACACTATTCTTTATCTCACCATTTTGCAATGTCATGCTTAAATAACAATTCTTGTTAATTCAATTTTGTATAGTAATAAAACTAAGTGATAAACATGTTGATCCAATAAGGAGTTGCCCATAAACAACAAAGGCAGCAACGTAGAATGCCAAACGCTTTCAATAATCATCGTCACAAACGTTTGTAAAGGGAAAGAATGTTTGCTTAATGGAATTGGCAACCGTGTAAAATAGCAAATTGATCTTGACTTTTAAAAGGATTCTACCAATTCAATATTCACCAAACTCCACATATCACTTCAACATAAAGAAATGAGGTGTTGGAAATTGACCTAATCCATTATTGGCACCCAACCGTACCCCTAAGGTCTCCTACTATCCTTTTAATTTGCTTCCCCTCACTGATTTGGAAACTTGGATTAGATACCAAGTCAGCTTCTTCTACCTCATGCAATCTTTGATTATGACTTTTTCATTTGGTGGTTTCACATTTCAAAAATTGTACTTTTCATCGTATGCAAGGTATGTACAACGTAACAAAGAGTATAACCATGTAAATTTTCCCCATTTTAAAATTTGACTATGCTTGGTAAAACTAATTGAAAAGGTAGATGAAAGCTTAAAAGAAGATGAAAGCTGAAAAGTTATAAGTTAGGAGCTGAAATTTAAACTGAAGAGCTGTTATGCTTTAAAGTGTTTGGTAAAATTAGCTTTTTGATAAGCTGATAAATGTAAAAAGACAAAAAATGACATCTTCATAAAATTTAAATTAGTTTGTTTATATATTAAAATTTAACATTTTGTCTTAAAAAAATTAACATTTTGAAATAAAATTACTAGCATCTCATAATGAAGTAGCAATATTGTTGCGAATCTCCTTCATCTAATAATAATAATAATAATAATAATAATAATAATAATAATAATAATAATAATAATTGCGGTGAAAGTTGATAAAGGAGAAAAGAAAATGATTTTAATTAAGAAGGTAAATGATGTCATTTCTTTAAAATAATAAAGATAAATATGAAAAAAAAAAAAGTTAGGAAGTTACTTGCTTATTTTGAAACGTTAAGTAAGGTAACGTTCCAAAATAAGCTCTTATTTTAAGCTATGAGCTTATTTTGGGGACATTACCAAATAGAGTTTATAGCTAATTAGTAGCTTAAAATAAGTTATAAACTCCTAAATAAGCTCTGTCAAACAGTGTGTATTTATATATAGTGAATCAAACAACAAATTAAATTTTAGACAAAAAAGTGTAAAAAGTTTTATAAAAATAAACAATCCTTGCATTCCTTGGTTGGTATAAATAGAAAAAGTAATAAAGGACAATATCAACTCCTCTTACTTAACTGTCCTGCTTCCTAATCCATGTTTACCAAATAAAGAGATTGCCAAACACTTACCAAAACCTTATACTCAAGCAATATAAATGTGAGACTCTTTTATAACAGATTTTGAAATAATTTTTTTAATCTAAAAAAGTAAAACAAAATTTTGTATGTGGAATTTTTTTTAATAATTTATTGATTTTACGCAAATAATATTATTTAGTAAAAATTAAATATTTTAAAAATAAGTAAAAATTAAGTATTATATATATATATATATATATATATATATATATATATATATATATATATTCTAAATGAACAAGTGACATTTTAGTAAACAAAATGTATATTTGTTGACTCATTAAAAAAGTTACATTTATTATTGACAATTGGTATGCAATCTCTAGTGAATCGGTCCATAATAGATCAAAGCACTATGACTGATTATTACAAAATTACAAGTGAGCTTGTGAGTAGGATATGATCCCCTTAACAGAATTGACTAAATTATTTATATTAGAATAAGTTAGACTAAGTCATAATGACCCTCGATAAGTGGGTCCATGTGACGAGTTTGAGTTGGAGGAATGAGGTAGTCACTTGGTCAGTCTCTTTGGCGGTCCCATCAAACGACGTTTGCAACTTGCAACCCCTAATTAGCGTAGTAGCCTTTCAAAGGTAAGCTTTCTTATCAGCCTATTTTATCCACCAATTAGTCAATCAAACAATTTATTGTTTTTATTATTGAGTCAATTGAACTGCCATATAATCTATCACTACTTACAAAATTATATATTTGAGATATATTTTACGCGAGATATTCTCATGTATTTGTGCAAATTGTATAAAGATTTCTTGAAATCAATTATTGTGATATTAGGATCCGAGGGGAAAATGACTACAACGGACAGATTTCGTGATGAGTGAAAAAAATGGACAACTTTTAAAATATGGACAAAAGAATGAAAAACTCGGAACTTGCGTTTGTGTAAAAAAACACAAGTCCCAATTGAGTTTGTCAAATTTTATTTTTTTTCTTTGTTCATTAGGGATTCTTTCGGTTTCATGTGCCTCAGCCTTTGCTTTGCCTATAGCCTCCTTTAGATAAACGACGTCATACTTTGCTTATTTCAAGGAACTTTTCAAACGAGCTTCGTCTTCCCTTACTTTGGAAGCATCTTCTTGTGCCTCTTTTAACAAATTTACCAGCCTATTAATTTTTTTTCATTGATGAATTTGCTTCCTCGGGTTTCACAACACAAATTCATCAAATCATGCTAATTTTCCTCCTTCAACATCTCATAATCTTTGCTTAGTGCTCGACAAAATTAGTAAGAAGATAAATTCCTTGCTTTGCGTCACCAAACATGTTCTCAAACCTCACATTCGTGGTTTTCAGTACTAGCTTTTGGCGATTGAATGAGACAGAAAAGTTGGACTTGCGTTCATTGTCCATATTGCTACAAACGTTGCGTTTGTTGCATTTATATTGATAAACACAAGTACGACTTGCATTTGTCATATTTATGGTAAAAAGAACATTTCAAAAATTTTAAAAACACAATTGGGACTTGCGTTTTTGACGAAACACACAAGTCCTAATTAATCGATTTTTTTTTTCTTCATTTTTTTCATCTATATTTTAAAACTTGTACATTTTTATCGACTCATTATAAAATCTATTCATTTAAGTCATTTGCACCAAATCGACATACATAATACTTGATGCGGTAAATGCTCTGAATCCCACGAATACGTACAAGATACGAGGTCGGACCAGGTTTAGGTCATCCTAAAGTTTGCTTGTTGGTTTAAGGGTTTATGCTCGGCTAATAGCATGAGGTCAAAGGTTCCCGAGGTTAATAAAGCTATATCGAAACTGTCCCCAAAAGAGTCCCCCAACAATTGTCTAGCAGAGTATTTATAAGAGACGTGGGAGGGACACATGTCGAGGGCCCGACATGTAAGCTAAGCCACATGTTACTCATGCATCGGGCGGATCGAGAGTCCAAGGAGAGCTGTCCACGTGCGAGGGGGTACCTGATGGACTAATGTCTGGTGGGCTTGACTTAAGCGTTTGTGCGGAGGTTAGACTTTGAAGGCTAAGTAGATGGGCTCGACGCACTAAACCGATCCTAAAGGTCAGGGCCGAGCATAAAATTTGAGAGCAGAGGTTCATTAAGCCAGGTTGGGGTCGGTCATGTGTTTTTTTTTTTTTTTTAGATCGGAACAGGTCGGGAATGGAGCTACAACCCCTAAGAAGCTGGATCCAAGCAGGTATTCGATAAGTACAGATCGGTAGACAGGTATATTCCCTATCAATACTAATTAAAAAACATCAAAAAAATAAAATAGAATCCGAGAAATGGTTGCTTGCCGGTGGGGGTGCGCAGGTAGAGCCGTAGAGGGTATCACGTCGGTCCACGTGGAGCCCGGTAGGTGGTGGAGCCCACGCTGACGTGGTGCCGGAGAGATTTAAACTAAGAGCATCCAGTGGTTTATAAACTAAAAAAGGATTTTAGAAACAATTTTACAGATTAATCCATTTCTTAGAGAGAGAAAAGACCGAAGAGAGAGAGAGAGCGCAGAGGTGCAGACTTTTAGAGCGAGAAACAAGGCGCGGACTGGCCGTCCAAAAAACACATCCCTCACGCGAAAGCGAAACGAAAATCGTCGCCAAGTTCGTCGTCGCATTTTCTCCCGTCTTCTAGGGCTAGCTCGGTCGCTCCTCGAATTTCTCTCTCAAAAAAAAAAAAGAGCAAAAAAATAATCGAAGCTAGATCATCCGAATAAGAGGAAAAATCGGATTAAAAAACTGATCAAAATATCCAGATCTTGCTGCTTTCAATCAATTTATTTATTTCTGCTTTTCTTCACATTTTATGTGAATTATATTGTTGGTAGATAGGTAGACAGAGACATATAATCGTCTGGTTTTTTTATGTATTGAGCTGAGAGATCCTTCTAGAGCTCTGCCTAGAAGGGATCGGATCTGCCTGGGATTGAACTAATCGGCGGTCGGGTTGTTCGTCGGATGAGAGACGGCGTTGAATGTTCGGGAAATCGGCCGGGAGAACGATGAAATGGGCATCATTGCTTAAAGACTTTAAGGAAAAGGTCGGCCTCGCTCAGCCTCCTTCCGCTGTCTCCTCACCTTCGGCTTCTGCTTCCTCGTCATTTCACGATAACTATGCCTTGCCTACCAACCTCAATCTCGACTTCAGCTTATCTCCTTCGAGGTACAGTGCCTCTCTCTGCCAATGCGGCGTTATCTGTTTCTGTATTGAGCTTATGCTTTTACTTATTTGCTACTAATTTTCGTGACATTTACTGATATTGATTATCTCAATGTTGAATTAAAAGCATAACATAAGTTGCATTTAGGTTTAATGTTTATTCACCTGAATGCAAGCTTAGCTAAGTTTTAGAAATTTAGCCGTGGTCAATTTCAGCAGCTGAACTAGATCTCTCACCTCAGACTCCATTAGACCATGAAAAGAGAAATAAGTTTTCGTGTTTTTTTTAATAGCTTGGAGATTGTGCTAATGAACAACTAAGGTTTCTGTATAGTTATAGTTATCTATACAATGTGATAGAACATGTCAATTTAGCAGTTCAACCTTTTACATTATATATTCTGAATACTGATACTTCTCTTGAGCTAATTCTTTTAATGAAATTTACTTCTTCTGCTACCTTGGTGAATTATGATTAAGATCTCTAGTGCAACTGTTCTATCATGCACCTTTGTATGTTGTGTTTATACTTTTCTTTTTGTCCTCCATACTCTTGAAAGCAGAGACAAACATGAATTGGAATTGGACTTCAAGAGATATTGGGAAGAGTTCCGCTCTTCAAGTTTGGAAAAGGTTTCTCTGAGTTTGTATAATGCAAAAGTTTAACTTGCTTAATTTGTATACTGGAAGAAGTTACCACTCATCTATTTTTCATTCCTCTTGCAGGAAAAGGAAAAGGCCCTGAATATGACTGTCGAAATTTTCTGTAGACTAGTAAAGCAACATGCAAATGTAGCTCAAATAGTTACCATGTAAGGGGTTACCTCTTTTTCCTCATTTTCTCCTGTCTTTTTAAGATTATTTTCTTGTAGTGTGTCAAAATTTCTGCTATCTCATGTTAAGAGTAATTGTCTTCCTAACCAGCTGACAAACTAGTTTGGGATTGAGGTCTTGGTATATTTTTGATGGTTGTTGCTCTAAAATATATTTTGATTCTTCCTTTTTGCTTGTACATCAGTACATGTTAATTTTGAGATTTTATGCTAATAAGCTATTATGTTGCTCTGAAATTTTGAATGTTATTTTCTTTCATTTTTTGTTTTTAAATTAATCTTGTGGTGAAGATTGGTTGGCCAACATTGAACACTTCTTGTTTACAGGTTAGTTGAAACACACATATTTTCTTTTGTTGTTGGAAGAGCATTTGTAACAGATATTGAGAAGTTGAAACTTAGCAGCAAAACAAGATCTTTGGAAGTTGAGAGAGTCTTAGGTTTTTTCTCTGAAATCACAAAGGTTTTTGATATTTATGTGTTGAAAGTTCTTGTTTTCTTTTGCAGTGAACTGTCGTATGTGAATATTCTGTAGAGTTAATGTGGCCTAATTTTGGTTATATTCATTAAACTACAGGATGGGATCAACCCTGGTGCAAATTTATTATATGCAGTGGAGGTCCTTGTCTCTGGGGTATATACACTTGCACTTTTTCTATATCTATTGGTTAAAAGCAGTTATATCTTCCTATTTCTATTATATGAATAATATTATATATTTTGAAACGGTTTGCTTGCACATATTCAATGAACAAGCACACAGAGTTATGATCTACCACATCTAGGTTTTGTTATGAATTGACTATTTATGTTATTTTTCAAAGCAGACTAAACACTGGTAAAGGTTATGCATTTCTTTTCCAAATTTAATGGGTGATCAATTTTTACAGCCTATTGATAAACAATCTCTTCTTGACTCCGGGATTTTGTGCTGTCTCATTCATATTCTCAATTCTCTTCTTGGTCCCAATGAGGGTCTCCTAAGGCAATCTGTGGACAATAATACAGAACAAGGGCTAGCAGAGAACAACCATGATGATGATGCTGCATCACGTCGTCGGCTTGAGGTAGCTTCTTTGCATGCTTGTTCTCTCCTCCTTACTACATGTATCATTGAGGATAATTTGTAGTATCCTTTTGAATGTTGAGTGAATATTATTGTGGGCAGTTCTTACATGTGTTTTATACATATATCGCACAGTGCTTATTGGCGGATCATAACAATCAATAGAATTGGGCTTGCTGGGGTTAATACTGAAATATGGCTCTGGCACAGGGGATTTTATTTAACCCAACAATAGAATAAAGAGGGGTAAAGAACAGGCCCTTTTTAATTGGCAGTTTGACTGCAGTTAGAACTTAAGAATTATAATGAGCTAAGAAACAGTTCATTTGTCGTGCTTTATTTTAGTGGAAAGATTGACATTTTTAGTCCACTAGCGACGGGACAAGTTTGAGCTCAGCTCAACATATAACTGATCAGTGAAAGTCTGGAAGATTGGGGGGTGGGTAGGTGGTAGCAGTTGGGCCGGTAGGTGAATGTAGGGGTAGATAGATAGGTGAGATAAACTGGAAATTCTCCAGTTACTAAACGGATCCTTATCATTTCCATAAAATGTAGAGGGTTTCTTGAATCTGAATTAAAAATAACTTTTGTTCATGTTAAATGTTTTGCATATCTTAGGTAGAGGGTAGTGTTGTACATATCATGAAGGCACTGTCCAGCCATCCTTCAGCTGCACAAAGTTTGATAGAGGACAACTCTCTTCAGTTACTCTTTCAAATGGTTGCTATGGGCTCTTTAATTGCCTTTTCTCAATATAAGGAAGGCCTTTTGCGATTACACACTATTCAGCTCCACAGACATGCGATGCAGGTATTTGGCTTACTTTTAGCTATTTATATATACAATATTTAGCTTTATTTGGTTTGCTTAATGAAACTTCTTATCTGACTAGATAATATTGTTCTTATATTTGATTCTTGATCCAGATACTTGGTCTTCTCTTGGCCAATGACAATGGCAGCACTGCCAAGTACATCCGCAAGTATCATTTGGTATGCCGTTACTGATGTATCCTAGTTTGTCTTGAATCATCTAACTAACTTCCATCCACTGTTCCCTTCTCTTCATCTTTTACCCCACTGAAATTGCGCAGGAGATGTTAAGTTTACAAGATACATGTATAACTTGCACCCTTACTGTAATTTATTCATATGAGAAATAACCTTGGTTAGTTTTTCAGTATTGATTGTGTAGGAGATGTCAAGTTTACGTGATACAAGTATAATTTACACCCTTACTGTAATTAATTCATACTGAGAAATAGCCTTTGCTTAGATTTTCAGTATTGATCGTGTTGGAGATGTCAAGTTTACGAGATACAAGTATAACTTGCACCCTTACCGTAATTAATTCACACTGAGAAATAACCTTGCCTAAATTTGCAATATTACATTAATTCATAGCACTATTGGTAGTTGACTTAAACTCTCATGCTTTTGTTAGGATTTGGGAATCTGAATGCCCAAGTGAAAGATGTTTTCATTGTTAGCTTGCTGTCAGGTAGGGAGAAATTTCAGCTGTTTATTATCAAGAAGAAAAAGGAAAAGAAGTAATGAATAGGAAAAAAACAAATAGAATGGAAGAACAATTCCTTTTCAACAGCCATACGCCCATACATGTTTGAATAGCAAAGTAAGTAAGGAGAGGAAGACGGAATGTTAAGATGGAATACACAACACCATAAAGTTGATCCTTGTAAACTCTAATGATCCCAACCCCTCCTTTCTTCTCTACCAATTATCGAATCAATTTATTACGAGTCCCTTATCCTATTCTTGCTTTGGACTGTTTCCAAGAAATCAATCCCTTAGTCTCTCAGAAAATTTAGGCTGCAAAAGTTTGTTCACATCATGAAAGCTGTAGTTTATGGGTTGGATTACTGTGCATCAATATTTAACAAAACAGTTAGGGGTTGAAGTACAACTGCCCATTTACTCCCTATTTTGGTCCATGACTCATTTTCTAGTGAAGTTGCATGAAAATCTTCAATGGATTTTGAAACAGTTGATTATATCCAAGCTTTTGGTGTTTCCTTGTTCTCTTTAGATTAATATTTTAATTCCATGACAATACTCATGGTCTTCAGCACTATTATTCTCCTTGATTCTTATGGCAGAATAACTTTCACATATCAAATATCCATTCTGCTTTGCTGATGATTAGACTTTATACGTAACAGATAAAGGTGCTTCTAATGGCTGTGAAGGATTTTAATCCTGATTGTGGGGATTCAGCATACACAATGGGCATAGTGGACTTGCTTCTAGAATGTGTTGAATTGTCATATAGACCAGGTAAAATGGTTGTTTATCTCTCCTTTTCTCCTTCTTTCCACTTTTTTTTTTTTTTTTTTTTTTTTTTTTTTTTTTTTTAAATAAGTAAAATGGTTCTTTTCTTCCATTCACTTGGATTAAAACTTAAAGTTGGGGGCTTTTCTCTCTTATTGAATAGTTTTAGTCTCCGTTAATATAAACATATTGTTAATGTAACCTACCTAGTGATTCATTATCCACTGCATTGGGTTGGTGCTGATTTCCAAATAATTTTGACTTGTAGAGGCTGGTGGTGTCAAGATTAGGGAGGATATTCACAATGCTCATGGTTATCAATTCCTGGTTCAGTTTGCTTTAGTACTCTCTAAGGATCAAAGTGGGCAGCCTTTGTATTCAGAGTCTCTTCCATGTAAAGAACCTGCTTCTGATGATCACCATGGGGCTGATAGTGCTGAGAGCAATGATTCAATAAAAAAGGCTGCAGAAAGTTCAGAAAAAAATCTCTCCCCTACACTCTGTAGGTTGCTTGATGCTCTTGTTTGCCTTGCTCAAACTGGCCCTACTTTGAAAACATCAAAAAGTGCTCATGCTAAGCCCAGTGGGTCTGGCAGAAGTCTAACTTCATCATCCGAACGAATAGGTGATGAAATATGGGAGAAGGATAATGACAAAGTTAAAGACCTTGAAGCTGTTCAAATGTTGCAGGACATTTTTCTGAAAGCTGATAGTAGAGAACTGCAAGCTGAAGTACTGAACAGGATGTTTAAAATATTTTCGAGCCATATTGAGAATTACAATTTGTGTCAGCAGTTGCGGACTGTACCCCTATTTATCCTTAATATGGATGGATTTCCTTCAGCTTTGCAAGAGATAATTTTGAAAATTCTTGAATATGCAGTGACAGTGGTGAATTGCGTACCTGAACAAGAATTGCTTGCACTTTGTTGTCTGCTGCAACAACCAATAACATCTGAATTGAAACATACTATTTTATCCTTCTTCGTAAAACTTCTGTCTTTTGATCAACAGTACAAGAAAGTACTGAGAGAAGTTGGTGTACTGGAGGTTCTTTTAGATGATCTCAAGCAGCACCAGTTACTTTCTAGTCCACAGCAGCATGATGGTGAACCTAATCAGTTGGAAAGAAAATTAAGTCCAAGCAGCTTCAAGAAACACCTGGACAGCAAGAATGCAATCCTTTCTAAACCAAAATTATTGGAATCTGGTTCAGGAAAATTCCCTATTTTTGAAGTAGAAGGCACAATAGCAATTGCATGGGACTGTATGGTCTCCTTACTAAAGAAAGCAGAACCAAATCAATCAGTGTTCCGATCATCTAATGGTGTGACCACTGTACTTCCTTTTTTGGTATCTGAAATTCATCGTCCAGGTGCCCTTCGAGCATTGTCATGCTTAATTATTGAAGATGCTACGCAGGTTTGCTTCCACTAAGCTAGGCTTTTGACATTTTATTTGCTCTATCTTTGCTCAAATGTATTGATGTATTGATTTGTATTACTATGCTTTGAGTGTTGCATTTCAACTCGATGGTCACTGGTTTACCTTTGGGATAGTAATTATACTTGCCTTAGACGCACAAGATTGAGAAGTCTTAATAATATTGATAATAGTTAAAGCATGCTTGCCTTTTGTGATGAAGAGTGTATTGTGTTAGGTAATTAAGCTAATATTTTGAGGCAAATAAATATGTAATTCTCTGGGCTGATTTGAACGCATAGTCCACCATGTTTAACTAATAGATCTATTCTTTTTGGTCTTTGGTTAATATTTATGCAATGATCTTGTACTCTTGTGCTGACTTAGTATCATAGTTATCATGGCGTCGCCTTGGCGTCCTGTCGGTGGAGACAGGACGCCTGGAGGCTTCGCCTCGCCTGAAAATGGTGAGGCGAGCTCCGGCGTCGCCTTTGCATCCAGACGACGCCAAGGACGCCGATTCGGCGTCCAAACCCATAAACCCTACCCATTTTTAACTTTATCTTTTTTAAAAAAATGGTATGAGAAGAAGAAAGCCAACCCAGTGACCCACAGCCACCGCCGTCGCCGTCCCACCGCCGTGGGTCGTCATCGGTGCTTCTTTCTTCTCCCACCGCCGTCGTCAACTGCCATTCTTGATTTTTTTTCTTCCTTTTCCTTCTTTCTTTCTTCTTGGCTTCTTTGTTCAGACTTATTTACTTTATATTTACTTTATTACTCCTAGAAAGTTGTAGCCTTGAGAAAATGAATAGTTTTCTGCTTCTGTTTTGTAATGAAAGCTACTGCAGCTACAACTTCCTAGAATATAATAAATAAGGCTGCCTATTTCCACTGCCTATTTCCACATATATTATATATAATTCTTCCCAATATATATTCTCATATTATTATTATTATTATTATTATTATTATTATATTTATATAATATATATATAATATATAAAATATGCTGGCAGTAATTGTTGTATAATATGAGAATATATATATATATATATTACTCATCGCCTAGGCGTTGCCTAGGTGGGCGCCTAGTCGCCTAGGCGACAAGGCGGTCGGGGAGCGCCACGACTTAAAAGGGCGCCGTGATAACTATGCTTAGTATAAGTGCTGCTTGTGTTTTACAGAGAAAATGCATTTCTGCATATATTACCCTACTAATTGATTTCATTGCAGCAGAATGCATTTCCTTGTAACCTTGTTTGCCAATCACCTACTTGTTTTTTTTTTTGAAATAATATCAAAACCGATACAGAATTACTTCTTGTGCTTGTACAATTGGAGGTTATTGAAGGCTTTTGTGAAATTTGTAACATTAGTTTTTCCTGGTAGACATGCTGCCATCTCCTTCTTGTCTGTAGTCTCTCATGGCATCATGTAACTTTTATTATTATACTATGGTAAGAGAGAGTCCCTGGTATTTTTGGTAGTCACAATGGGCTCCAACTAATTCCTAGCCCAACTATTTTCAGATCCCATATGGGACGGTAGCTTTCTAAATGCCTGTTGGATATTTACAAGGCTTGAACCTGAGATCTTTCTTATTGGGAATTGAGCTCCTTATGCTTGGGCCATAAGTCATTGTTTCATTTAAATTTTATAACTGAGAGCATACTTGGCCTGTGTTTCTTTTAGTAATTACAGCTAGTTTCCTGTAAAACTATGGGGAGTACAAAACTTATCTCCTTTATGCAGCTCGTCCTTTCTTCTGCATTTACTTTTACGTCCCAAAAATGCTAAAATTCCTTCGTTTTTTTTTTTTTTAGTCTCATCCAGAGGAGTTGGGAGCAGTGGTTGATATTTTAAAAAGTGGAATTGTTACAAGTGCATTGGGATCTCAATACAGAATTCAAGATGACGCAAAATGTGACATCTTTGGAGCTTTGTGGCGCATTCTAGGGGTTAATAATTCAGCTCAGAGGGTCTTTGGTGAATCAACTGGGTTCTCTCTTCTATTAACCACACTCCATAGTTTCCAAACTGATGGAGAACTGGCAAACCAGTCTTCTTCAGCCATTTACATCAAGGTGTTTACATATTTATTGCGTGTAATGACAGCTGCAGTTTGTGACAATGCTGTTAACAGGACAAAGTTGCATGCTATTATATCTTCTCACACATTTTATGATCTTCTCTTGGAGTCTGGTTTAATTTGTGTCGATTGTGAAAGGCAAGTTATACAGCTGCTATTGGAACTTGCTCTTGAGATGGTGCTTCCACCATTTCTGATGTCAGAAGATTCCGCATTGTCTCGCACTAATGACAATGAGTCAGCTTGTTTTCATCTTATTACATCTTCTGGTTCTGTTGTTCCTGACAATGAACGGGTGTACAATGCTGGTGCTGTTAGAGTGCTTTTACGCAATCTATTGCGGTTTACTCCCAAGTTGCAATTGGAGGTGTTAAGCCTCCTTGATAAGCTTGCTCGTGCAAGTTCCTTCAACCGAGAAAACCTAACATCTGTAGGTAAGAATATGATGAATATTATTATCTTTTATTTCATATTAAAAATATTTTTTTAATAGAATAGTTAATAATTGATGCTACGGTGTTGTCAGGGTGTGTGGAACTTCTACTTGAGATGATATATCCCTTCCTATCTGGCTCATCACCATTGCTATCTCATGCTCTGAAAATTGTAGAAGTCCTTGGGGCATATAGGTAACTACCTCTATCTAGTCTAGAACTTCTCTTTGATATCCCTAATTACAGTTTACATTTCAATTTAATCTTACGTCTGGTAAGATGAACGGTGTACTCTCTTGTTACAGGTTATCAACATCTGAACTTCGAATTCTTGTTAGATACATTCTTCAAATGAGGCTTGCTACTTCTGGACGATTTCTTGTAGATATGATGGAACAATTGATTCTTAAGGAGGACATTGCTTCAGAAGATGTTTCACTGGCACCATTTATAGAGATGGACATGAGCAAGGTGGGGCATGCTTCAATTCAAGTGCCACTGGGGGAAAGATCTTGGCCACCTGCTGCTGGCTATTCTTTTATATGTTGGTTTCAGTTTCGGAAGTTTTTCAAATCACAGGCAAAGGAGGCTGAAGCATCCAGAACTGGATATTCTAAAAAGCAGGCAGTAGCTGGTGGACAGCATCATGGACCACATGTTTTACGGATATTTTCTGTTGGAGATGCAGAAAGTTCTAGTGCTTTCTATGCAGAAATTTGTCTTCAGGAGGATGGTGTTCTTACTCTTGCCACTAGCAACTCTTCATCCTTGTCATTTTCTGGGTTAGAAATGGAGGAAGGTAGGTGGCATCACCTTGCTGTTGTTCATAGCAAACCAAATGCTTTGGCTGGCCTCTTCCAGTCTAGCATTGCTTATGTATATCTTAATGGGAAACTAAGACACACAGGGAGACTAGGATACTCTCCATCTCCACCCGGAAGGTCGTTGCAGGTAATCATTGGAACACCTGTTACTTGTGCAAGGGTTAGTGACTTGTCGTGGAGACTTAGATCTTGCTATCTTTTTGAAGAAGTTCTTTCGCCTGGCTCTATCTGTTTTATGTACATCCTTGGGAGAGGATATAGGGGGCTATTCCAGGACACTGATTTGTTGCAGTTTGTTCCTAATCAAGCCTGTGGTGGGGGCAGTATGGCCATTTTAGACTCTTTGGACACTGACATGCCATTGGCTTCCACAACTCAGAAGGCTGATAATGCCAGCAAGCAAAGGAGTTCTAATGCTGATCGAAGTGGTATTGTTTGGAATTTCGAAAAATTAGGGAACCTCTCGCTTCAGCTTTCTGGTAAAAAGCTCATATTTTCATTTGAGGGAACAAGCACGGAACTTCTTCGTGCTTCTGGAACTCTGTCTGTGCTCAATCTAGTTGATCCTATGTCAGCTGCTGCATCTCCTATTGGGGGTGAGTAAATAGTAATCTTTTCCTGTTTATGATTTGTAAAATGTTGACGTATCTGAAAACTCAAATTTACTGACTACACTTTCTTGAATTAATTTTTTCCTGGTTCTTCTGGGTCCCTCATAGGTATACCTCGCTTTGGACGACTGATTGGCGATGTCTATATCTGTAAACATTGTGTCATTGGAGAGACAATTCGTCCAATTGGTGGCATTGCTGTTGTTCTAGCTCTTGTTGAAGCTGCTGAGACTAGGGACATGCTGCATATGGCTTTGATGTTGCTTGCATGTACACTTCATCAGAATCCTCAAAATGTGAGAGATATGCAACAATATAGAGGTTACCACTTGCTTGCTCTTTTCCTGCACAGAAGAATGTCATTGTTTGATATGCAGTCACTTGAAATCTTTTTCCAAATTGCTGCTTGTGAGGCATCTTTCTCTGAACCCAAAAAATTGGAGGCTGCTCAGAAGATTCTACCACCTACATCAACCATTAGTGAGGGTGATGTTGAGGACCTTAGCTTTTCAAAATTCAGGGAAGAATTTTCTTCAGTAGGATCCCATGGAGATATGGATGATTTTTCTGCCCCAAAAGATTCATTCAGTCATATTTCAGAGCTTGAAAATACTGACATGCCTGCTGAAACTTCTAATTGCATCGTCCTTTCAAATGCTGACATGGTTGAGCATGTCTTGTTGGACTGGACTGTATGGGTAACAGCGCCAATTCCAATTCAAATTGCTTTATTGGGCTTTCTAGAAAATCTGGTTTCAATGCATTGGTACAGGAATCACAACCTGACAATTCTCCGCAGAATTAACCTTGTTCAACACTTGCTTGTGACTCTGCAAAGAGGTGATGTTGAAGTTCCCGTGTTAGAGAAGTTTGTTGTATTATTAGGTGTGATCTTAGAAGACGGGTTTCTTCCATCTGAATTGGAACAGGTGGTTAGGTTTGTGATCATGTCATTTGATCCCCCAGAGCTTTTGTCACGCAATCAAATCAACCGAGAGTCAATGGGAAAACACGTTATTGTAAGAAACATGTTGCTTGAGATGCTTATTGATTTACAGGTGACCATTAAATCTGAGGAGTTGCTTGAGCAGTGGCATAAAATTGTTTCTTCAAAACTAATAACTTACTTTCTTGATGAAGCTGTTCATCCTACAAGTATGAGATGGGTCATGACTCTTCTTGGTGTGTGTCTTGTATCTTCTCCTACATTTGCACTTAAATTTCGCTCCAGTGGAGGGTATCAAGGTTTGGCAAGGGTGCTTCCCAGTTTCTATGATTCCCCTGATATATATTATATTCTGTTCTGTCTGATATTTGACAAGCCAGTATATCCAAGACTCCCTGAAGTTCGTATGCTGGACTTTCATGCCCTTATGCCTAGTGATGGAAATTATGGAGAGCTAAAATTTACAGAGCTGTTGGAATCTGTGATAGCCATGGCAAAGGCAACTTTTGATAGGTTGTGTATGCAGTCAATGCTAGCCCATCAAGCTGGCAATCTTTCCCAAATTAGTGCTGGCATTGTGGCAGAGCTTGCAGATGAATATACAGACTGGTCAGGGGAGCTTCAAGGCGAAGCACTGGTGCACAAGACTTATGCTGCACGCTTAATGGGTGGAGAGGCTTCAGCCCCTGCTGCTGCTACCTCTGTCCTTAGGTTCATGGTTGATCTAGCAAAAATGTGTCCTCCATTCTCTGCTGTTTGCCGACATGCTGAATTTCTTGAGACCTGTATTGACTTGTATTTTTCTTGTGTCAGGTATATTGTAAAATGCTTTTTCTTTGTGTGCTTGTTGAAAAATCTTATCATTGTTATATGCTTTCTGTTCTGAATTGAGCTGAATATTCTCTGATATGTAGGGCTTCTCATGCTGTGAAAATGGCAAAACAACTCTCTGCTACTGTTGAAGAAAAGACACTGGTGGATGATGGTGATGAAACTTGTAGTTCCCAGAATACATTCTCTAGCATGCCTCATGAACAGGTACACTCAGCCAAAAGCTCTATAAGTTTGGGAAGCTTTCCACCAGTACAGGTGAGCTCCAGTTCAGAAGATATGCCAGTTGTGCCAAACAAGGTTACTGGAGATAAAGGAGAGATGCGAAACAAGGTTACTGGAGATAAAGGAGAGATCTCTGTTTCTTCAGACCAGAAGGATTTAAAAAAAGAGGCAAAGGAAGATGCACAAATTAGTGCGACACTGGATGGTGACGTGGTTGACCTTGCCTCCACTACCAGCTTTAATGAGTTTAACTTCCGTGAAATGAAGAGCTCTCTAGATCCTACTGCACAAGCAGATTCACAAAGTACTGCATCCTTTACCAATGTTGAATCTCCTATTTTATCTGAGAGATCTTATTCTAAAAGCCCATTAGCGACTTATTCATCACCAGTAGTTGCACTGACATCTTGGTTGGGTGGTGCTAATAACAATGATAATAAAGGCCAAATTGCTTCCACTTCATCTATGGTGTCTTATGCATCCTTCAGTGAAGTTGATTCCTCTTCAGACACAAAGTCCAGTTCTCAAGGACAATATGCTGCCAACACAATGTTTACAATTAGCTCAAAGCTACTTCTTGAAGTGGATGATTCAGGCTATGGTGGTGGTCCATGCTCTGCTGGAGCCGCTGCTGTTTTAGATTTCATGGCTGAAGTTCTATCTGGTTTATTGACTGAGCAAATGAAAGCTGTGCCTATCATCGAGGGTATACTGGAGTGTGCTCCATTAAATATTGATGTTGAATCTATTTTGACCTTTCAGGGATTGTGGCTTATTAGATTGATGAACTTCCTTGAAAGACGTCTCTTGCGTGATGATGAGGAAAATGAGAAAAAGCTGGATAAGAGCCGTTGGTCTTTGAATCTAGATGCATTATGCTGGATGATAGTGGACAGAGTGTATATGGGTGCTTTCTCTCGACCTTCTAGTGTACTGAAGACTCTGGAATTCTTGTTGTCTATGTTACAATTGGCAAACAAAGATGGTCGTGTTGAAGAAGCAGCTCCAACTGGAAAGGGGCTCTTGTCTATTGGAAGAGGAAACAGGCAACTTGATGCTTATATACTTGCAATTTTGAAAAATACAAATCGAATGATTTTGTTCTGCTTCCTTCCATTATTCTTGGTAAGCATAGGAGAAGATGAACTACTCTCAAGTTTAGGCTTGCAAATTGAGTCCAAGAAAAGAGTTCCAATAAACTCATCACCAGAAGATAGTGGAGTTGATATTTCCACGGTGTTACAGCTTCTAGTTGCTAATAGGCGGATAATATTCTGTCCAAGCAACATTGACACTGATATCAATTCCTGTCTTTGCATAAATCTAATCTCTCTTCTGCGTGTTCAGAGACGGAATGTACAAAGCATGACTGTTGATATTCTTAAATATCTTCTGGTGCATCGCAGAGCTGCACTTGAAGACTTGCTTGCCTCTAAACCAAATCAAGGATCTTATGATGTTCTACGTGGTGGTTTTGACAAGCTTTTGACTGGAAACTTATCTGCATTTTTTGAGTGGCTTCATAGTTCTGAGCAGGAGGTTAATAAAGTACTGGAACAGTCTGCTGCACTGATGTGGGCTCAGTACATTTCAGGGTCAACAAAGTTTCCTGGAGTGAGGATTAAAGGCATAGATAGTCGCCGTAAGAAAGAAATGGGAAGAAAATTGAAGGACAATTCAAAGTTAGATGCTAGACACTGGGAGCAGATTAATGAACGAAGAATTGCACTTGAATTAGTTCGTGATGCAATGGCTACTGAACTAAGAGTTATTCGCCAGGATAAGTATGGCTGGGTAATGCATGCTGAAAGTGAGTGGCAAAGTCACCTCCAACAAATTGTACATGAGCGAGGAATATTCCCAGTAAGTAAATTGTTCTCAGGTGATGAACCTGAGTGGCAACTTTGCCCCATTGAAGGTCCATATAGGAAGCGCAAGAAGCTTGAACGCTGCAAATTAAAAATTGACACTATTCAGAATGTTCTAAACGGACAATTTGAGTTAGGGGAGCTAGAATTGTACAAGGAGAAGACTGAAAATGATTTGAATGCTTCTGATGCTGGATCAGATTATATCTCCAATCTTCTGACTGATAATCCTCGACAGGATACTTTTGATAGTGATCTGTATGGTGGCTCAATTTTCAAAGAGGTTGATGAGTTCAAGGATGCAGCTTCCAGTAAAACTGGTTGGAATGACCATGATAGCAGTATTAATGAAGCAAGTCTGAGCTCAGCTGCAGGATTTGGTGTAAAATCCAGCACTGCTTCCCTCCGAAAAGATGAGAGCCTACCGGGAAGATCTGATCTTGGATCTCCGAGGCAGTCTTCATCAGCAAGAATTGATGATGTTAGGATGTCAGGGGAAAAATCAGAGAAGGAATTAAATGATAATGGTGAATACTTGATCAGACCATTTTTGGAACCTTTTGAGAAGATAAGGTACAAATATAACTGTGAAAGAGTGTTGGGTCTTGATAAACATGATGGCATTTTTCTGATTGGGGAACTGTCGCTATATGTCATTGAGAACTTTTATATTGATGAGTCTGGGTGTATATGTGAAAAAGAAAGTGAAGATGACCTTTCAGTCATTGATCAGGCTTTGGGCGTTAAGAGAGACTTCTCTTGTAGTATGGATTCACATTCTAAGTCAAGTTCTTCTTGGGCTTTAACTGCTAAGGCTTATGTTGGAGGTAGGGCATGGGCATACAATGGTGGTGCATGGGGAAAGGAAAGGGTTTGTAGTAATGGCAATGTGCCTCATCCTTGGCGTATGTGGAAGCTTGATAGTGTCCATGAAATTTTGAAGCGTGATTACCAACTTCGCCCTGTTGCAATTGAGATTTTTAGCATGGATGGTTGCAATGACCTTCTGGTTTTCCACAAAAGAGAAAGAGAGGAAGTTTTCAAAAATCTGGTAGCCATGAATCTTCCAAGAAATAGCATGTACGTTATTCACTTCCAAATTCCATCTTTCTTCTCTCTGCTTTTACTGTTTAGCTGATAATCATGTGCATTCACTCTTTATATGTTATTTGAGAATGTGGTGTAGGATCATCAGACACTTCAATGTCTAAACTACCTAGCAGGTTACCAAAATTAGGGTTTTATTCATCTGTTTTGCTGGAAGCAGTCTTTTTTCCTTTTCAGGGTGTGCCAATGGAAATGACTACTTTCTTAAGATAAACAAATTTTAATCCTAAATTTCTGAAACTACCGTTTAATGATTTTTAAAATTTTGGGGTCATCACGTGTTCGTCTCCTGATAGATAAATAAGGATAGGCAACGAAGTAGTACAATACATGATTCTTGTTGACTTTAAAAGCACCAGAAGTAGAACTTTATCCAATTCACATAAAATGTTGCAGAACTCAAAGTGAACAGCTCTAAAGAAATGGAGTAATGGGTTGTACGTAGTTCGTACCTCCATTGAGCAATAGTTGTAGTAGTCTTCCTATTATTATAACTATCAATAGTTTGAAAAGACTTGAATAATTATCTCAAAGAGTCGAAGCACTATTAGGATATTAGGCTTCAGTGCGAATGAGGAAGCACAAGTCTGGACATTACCTATAAAATCTCTTTTTTTGTTCTAGGTAACATATGGAATTTTTTAGTTGAGATGTTAGTGGTCTTCTGGTTTATGTATATTCATCTTCTAAGTAATTTGGTAGAATTTGCAAATGGTGGTTATGTATTATCTGTCAGACCTGCTCTCTGTTGATTTTCTAACCTGTAACCAGTATTTCAAGTTTCATAATAGTTGTCCTTTGTTCAAGCAGGTTGGATACAACAATTTCAGGTTCAATTAAGCAGGAAAGCAATGAAGGCAGTCGCCTCTTTAAGGTTATGGCTAAATCATTCTCAAAGAGGTGGCAGAATGGAGAGATAAGCAATTTCCAGTACCTCATGCACCTCAACACCCTTGCAGGTCGTGGATACAGTGATCTTACCCAGTATCCAGTGTTCCCTTGGGTTCTGGCTGATTATGAGAGTGAAAATCTTGACCTGACGAACCCCAAAACTTTCCGTAGGCTTGACAAACCAATTGGTTGTCAAACAGGAGAAGGGGAAGAGGAGTTCAGGAAAAGGTAGGTCAAGCCCTTTGCATATTTGTCCATATTGTTTACTCTCTGCACGGTATCCATTCAACTTGGAGGAGATTATTTATCTTCTCTAATACATTTTTTTTTTTCATTTGCCTCAGATATGAGAGCTGGGATGATCCAGAGGTTCCTAAGTTCCATTATGGTTCTCACTATTCTAGCGCTGGAATTGTCCTTTTCTACCTCATCCGCCTTCCACCCTTTAGTGGTGAGAATCAGAAGCTCCAGGGTGGACAATTTGATCATGCTGACCGTCTTTTTAATAGTATAAAAGATACATGGTTAAGTGCTGCTGGGAAAGGAAACACATCTGATGTTAAGGAACTGATTCCGGAGTTCTTCTATTTGCCAGAGTTCCTAGAGAACAGGTTCAATCTTGATTTGGGTGAGAAGCAGTCAGGGGAAAAGGTTTGCTTAGTTCTTTACATCCTCATAGTAGCATTTGATTTTTGTCCTTTTTGGATGCAGTTTCCTCAAAGATTTGCTCATTCTGTTTATTTAGATCCTTATATCCTCATACTTATGGTGTTTTCTCAGGTTGGTGGTGTTCTATTACCTCCATGGGCCAAAGGCAGTACTAGAGAGTTCATCAGGAGGCATAGAGAAGCTCTGGAGTCTGATTTTGTTTCTCAAAATTTACATCACTGGATTGATCTCATCTTTGGTTGTAAACAGAGGGGGAAGGTACATGGAATTCTAATATTGTGATTCATATTTAATTTACTCTCTGTCTGTAATACTCCTAAATGAATTTCGCTCAGCAATGCATATTACTTGCTACTATATGATAGCAGCTACTTGTGGGAGAGGTCGTTCTGTGTCTGTCTTCTCTTGTTATCCTCTTGATATACTAACATTTAAATCCTTGTTTTGTTGTTGATAGGCTGCTGAAGAAGCTGTAAATGTTTTCTATCATTATACTTATGAAGGCAGTGTTGATATCGACTCAGTCACTGATCCAGCAATGAAGGCTTCAATTCTTGCCCAAATTAATCACTTTGGGCAGACACCAAAACAGTTGTTCCTCAAACCTCATGTGAAGAGGCGGTCCGATAGAAAGCTTCCTCCGCATCCACTGAAGCATTCTTTGCATCTTGTCCCACATGAGATCCGTAAGAGCGCATCTTCTATATCTCAGATTGTGACTGTTAATGACAAAATTCTTGTGGCTAGAGCGAATTCCTTCCTGAAACCTAGAACATATGCTAAGTATGTTTCATGGGGATATCCTGACCGTAGTTTGAGATTTATGAGCTATGACCAAGATAGACTTCTTTCTACTCATGAGAATCTTCATGGTGGCTACCAGATACAGTGTGTCAGTGCTAGTCTTGATGGTCGTCTTCTGGCCACAGGAGGTGATGATGGGTTGATTTGTATTTGGAGAATAGGCAAAGATAGTGGACCTCGAGCCGTAAGACACTTGCAGTTGGAGAAGGCTCTTTGTGGCCATACAAGCAAAATCACATGCGTTGATGTTAGCCAGCCTTACATGATGATAGTGAGCGGATCAGATGATTGTACTGTTATATTGTGGGATCTTAGCTCCATGGTTTTTGTTAGGCAGCTACCCGAATTTCCTTCACCAGTTTCAGCCATTTATGTTAATAACTTAACTGGGGAAATTGTGACAGCAGCTGGTATTATGCTTGCGGTTTGGAGCATCAATGGTGACTGCCTTGCTGTGGTCAACACATCACAACTTCCATCTGACTTTATTCTCTCACTTACTGGTTGTACAAACTCTGATTGGCTTGAAACTAAGTGGTATGTTTCTGGTCACCAGAGTGGAGCAATTAAGGTCTGGAAAATGGTACACTGCTCAAGTGAGGAGTGTGCCCAAAGTAAACCAACAAGTGGGAATCCAACTGGGGGGTTAAGGCTTGGAGATAAAGCACCTGAATACAAGTTAATCCTTCACAAGGTATTAAAGTGTCATAAACATCCTGTTACTGCACTCTACCTTACCAGTGATCTGAAACAGTTGTTGAGTGGAGATTCTGTAGGGCATTTGCATTCATGGACACTCCCTGAAGAGAGCTTGAAACTTGTAGCTAATCAGGGGTGATTGTGGGATGAACTAGCAGTCTGTGTGTTTGATATTCCAGATGATGTAGTTTTTTCTGGTTATCTGCTATCAAATGGTATATTTGAGGGTTCCACGGTTTTTGGGGGATAAATGCCCTGCCCTGTTGGATTCTGCCTCACTGAACAGTGACAAGAACAAGGTGCATCTCGCTTAATGCCGTCCTTGTGAAAGCAAGCAATTGAAGTGGTCGTGGCCTCACAAGTAGGACTCGGAAGATGATGGTGATGGGCTTTTCGGGGGTATGGGGAGGGGAAAGGAGATTGTGGAGCAGTCTCCTGCAGTTGTTGTATATAGAAAAAAAGGCATCATGTATAATGAGGTTTGTATAGGCCAGGAATGGCACGTCGGATAAAAACAATCCAGCTAGTTTTGGCAGCGGATGAACGACTTGCCACGGTTCTTTTTAGACTTAATTTACTTTAGAAGTCACATGATGATGATGATGATGTTTCATTGATTTTGGGAAATGCCATTTTGAAGATTTTATTGTTTTTTTAGTCTGCTGCAGGATAGCGTGATCCAATGAGTTTGAATTTTGAATCTCATTTTACAAGGGAAGAATGGTTTGTTTATTATCTTTCTATCTATTATGTATAAACTGATATATGTGGTGTACAGGAAGCCAGCCCTTGCTTTGCATTTGGTTTTGGAAGGTTATAGAAGGCCAAGGAGGCTGGCTAAGGCCTAAGCTCCCTAGCATATGCCATACGATACTTAGTGAGGAAGTGAAGGGAAGTTTGCGTGGCCTTAGATTTCTTTCCTTGCCAACATTTGGAGTATAGAGTTTCCTTTGTAATACTCAACTTGTATTACTCTTCACAGTTCGTTCCTCAATATCAATTCATAATTCCTCTTTACACTTATTACTTGCCTTTCATGCTTCCACCTTAAAACAAATTTTATTTGTTTCAACAATGCTATACTTAAATCTAGGAATGTGATTGAGTGGGAAGGGATTCATCAATCCTTAACCAAAGGTCAAGGGTTCGATTTGGCTTTGGGTATAAAACAACTTTAAATCTCCAGATCAACTGTCTCACTCAAAAAAAATGTCACCCTTTAGCAAAGGAATTAGCCACTGTGTCCGACGGTAAAAACCCCGAATATACCCATAAAAAAAAACAATGCTCTACTTTACACAAATGAAATCCACAATTCAACTTACTATACACCATCTAAATTTCAAAAATCATGAAAATATGTGGCTCAGTGAAGTGGATAGCTTTTGATCACATTGTCTATACTATAAACTTGAGTAATTAGTTCACCCTCTTTCACTCGAATCATCTACCTTGTCTTCATTGCCCCACACCTCCGCCAACATTACCACCATCTCCACTACCCATAATCAATCGAAAGCTCTACAAATGCTCGCCTCCCTGCCATCCCTCAACTCTCCGCCATCTTTGATCACTAGATTCAGTCATTCACAAAGCCAACTATCTATCCTCCTCAACCAAAAACCTCCATTACCCCAATCCTCTTCCCATACAAAAGGGACAAGATTCCCCTCTCCACCAAACCTCATCATGACAAAAAGGGAACAACAAATACAGAGGGTCAATCCGCCCACCACATTCCCTTCCCCATGCTGAAGAAACCATCGGAATTCCAAATATTCCTATGAAGAGGGGATGTGCGTTTCTGTATTTGGGAGGGTTCTCTCTCTCTCTCTCTCTTTATCACTCACTCTCTCTACCCTGGCTGAAAAGTTTTTAACTCTAGCAGACTAAATACTACGGGAGAGATAAGTGGGAAATTAGACAACCTGTGACATGGAGCTCAATACGGGGAGACATACATCAATGACACACATGAGCATATTACTGACAGTAGCAACAAGCACCACACTACATTCATATAATAATACATTTATTATTACGACAGTAGCTCACCTAATAATCTATAAAACCAGGAAACTACGAGATCTTCTCTGCTATTTCTCATATTGGTTGGTCTTTCGGAACGATCTGATCCTTGAGCCACATATATATGGGAACCAAAACATAATATGCTCCTGCCATGGCCCCCAACATGAAGCGCAGAAGAAACACAAGCGGATTCACGGGCTTTGAGACATCCTCAGCCTTTGGACCAAGCTGCAAGTGAATATTGAATAAATGACTATGTTAACTGAAGGGGAAAATACAATTTTAACACAAGTACTCTGCAGTAGGGGTGAAAACAAATCAAATAAAAAAAATTCGATTCGTGATTCGAATTCAAATATTCGAGTCGAATCGAATATATTCGAATATATAGTCGAATTCGAATATTTGACTCGATTCGATTCGTTTACACCCCTACTCTACAGCGAATTGTGTGGTCTTGGCATCCTTCTGGGCAAAAAGATTTCGCATTTTTACACGATAATTTGTATAGAAATTTTCCATCAATTGCTCATATTGAAGCCAATGAGTTCATGTTGCAAGCTACTAAGCAAGAGTTGATAGTCCAAATGGAGAGTCACTAATGAATAAACGGGAGTGCTTTCTTGCAAGATATGACAAGGTAAGAGCATGATTTAAGGTGGCAAACAAATAACAAAAATTGCGTATTTTAACTCCAAGCGCGCATTTAGATAAGAAGAAGAATTACCTGTAGCGGTGAGTCTCCAGAGTCGGTTTTTACACCAGTTACGGAGCAGCCCATGATCAGACCATGTCTACGAACCCCACGGTACCATTTTGGGCCAATCCTCTTGAGTTGAACATCCTTAAATCCAGCCTTTTCAAACCACTCAAGATACTCCGACTCCTTTGGAAAGAGCATCCAGACATCAGCAAAGAATCGCGACAGCCAAAACGTCGGGTGAACAGGACCAATTAGGCAAGCCTTTCCTCCAGGTTTTAAAACTCTGTATGCTTCCCTGATTCCACGCTGTGGGTCTGGCCAGTACTCAATACTAAAGAAAAAGAGAAAGAAACCGGGATTGTTCCATTAGAAACATGAGTACGAAAACTCCAAGTAAAGGATTTTCATAAAAGAGGAAATAACCAGCTTAAATCATTACCATATTGACCACTAATTCACTAAACGTTTGTTCTTTACTAAATACTAATGAACGACTCCCTATATTCTTTACCAAGTCCATCAAGAAGGTATCTTTCACCTCTTCTGCTAAAAATAACACTTCCATGAATCATTGTTAACACAATGTGCAAAAACCCAAAGATAAAGTTGCCTTAGAATTGATTGCTACACATAAATTTATGAGAGATTAGGAAAACCATAGGTGATATATCCATAGCAAAATCTAAAGAAAGCGGGTAGTTTAATATAGCTTTAAATTTACAAAATTAGTGGACATTATGGAAAAGCCTAATCAGTAATCAGTCCCAGTTCCTTTGTGAACATCAAAGAAAGTTGGAACAGTAAAACAAGATTAGCATTGCCCCCTGCAAATTTTATAAAATCCATAGAAAATTATTTTTTTTTTTAAAAAAAAAAAAAAAAAAAGTTAAGGAACTAAAGAGAGCAATTTACCTCCCAGCAGAAACATATCTATCAGCATAATCAGTGGTGAAGGGAAGATCCTCAGCATCACCCTCAATGATTTTGCAATCCTTCAAGGGCTCCTTCTCCTTAGCCTTAGCAAGCTGGTGAGGGGACTGATCAAGAATGGTAACATTCTTGGCATCCACATGCTTCACTATCCCCAGAGTGGTGAACCCTGTGCCACCCCCAACATCCACCACAGTCAAATTCCTGTCATTCAGCTCAGCTGGTTCAAGGGCATCATCTCTCATGTCTTCTGTCCAGTGCCCTGGGTTTATCACATGGTCATACACAATAGAGAGGAACCTGTAGAACCAAAATGCCTCCTGCTTGTGCTGAATGAATCTTGGCATTGAGACTGGCCTGGATGCAGAAATGCTGCATTTTGGAGCTAGGGTTTGATTCTTTCTTCTGGGTTGAGAAAACAGACTCAGATTGGGAAGTTGGGTTCCTCTCACATTTGAGCCAATAAAAGATAGCCCCTTTGGGTTTTGGCTAATTTTTGGGAGAATACAGAGACTCTCAGCAGCAATGAGCATCGAATTGGCCATGGAATCTGAAGATACAGCAAAAATTCACAGAGACAAACAAACAAAAAGAACAAAAACAAAAAAAGGAGCGATCTTTGAGATCAGAAAGCCAGTTTAAAGAAAACCCAATAGTAAATGTAAACAAGAATCGCTTCAAAGTTCAAACCCACCTTTCTGGAATCTGCGAAAAGATTTTTCCCTTTGTGAACAACAGTAGAAAGTACCAAACGAATTAGCACTGAGTCAGTCACTGGGCTAAGTGATGGCAATCGGAAGAGAAATGTTACGGACTCCTCAGTCCTCACTCCCTTAAGTGACAACGTGGGATTTTATTTATTTAAAAAAAAAATTGGAATCAAGACTATGTGGTATAATGGTACCCGGGTTGGACTTTCAATTAGAAGTTTCAAGCCTCAGTGAAGACGTTATTGGTTCTATGTGTTTCAGTAGGTTATGAATAGATACTACAATGTAGTAATAGGGCCAGTAACATTCAAAAAAAAACACAAAAGTGTCATTTCAAGTTGGAGCAAATATCAATTTTGGTCTCACGAGTATTATCAAAATAACAGTTCTGGTCCACATGTTTAATTCCTACTAATTTGCATTCATGATTATTGTTTTAGTACCAATTTTTATCAAGGAATATTATTTTAGTGCCAAAATTTATCACGTCGGTCACCTTTTTGTTTAAGACATGCCAAAATATGATATTAATGTTTTTTTTTTGTCATTTTCAAATTAAAATCTCAATTCGAGCATGAATAAATGGATTTAAACCCTATGATCAATCTCAATTCGCAGTTCTCCTCTTCAAATTAAGGTAGGATGAGGAAGATAACTCCGAATTGGGATCGATCTTATGGCTTATATACTTTTATTCATGCTTAAATTGAAATCTTAAGTTGAAAATGATAAAAATGTCCTTCAAATTTTTAGATTTCGGCAGGTCTTAAATGGAGGGGTGAACGGTTTGGTGAATTTTGGTACTAGAATAATAGTCATGGATGAAAATTAGTACTAAAACAATAGTCGTAGATGACAATTGGTACGAATTAAACATGTGGACTAAAATCATCATTTTGCTAATACTCGTGGCACCAATTTAAGACCAATAATATATATGAACAATATAATACGTAGCAAATGTTTTTTTTTTTTTTTGAAATACTCATAATTCTTTACATCGTAGTATCTGTTTTATATTTTTTTAATCTTTTCCGGTCCAAAGAAATTAATGGGTCAACCATCAAGATTCAACCTCTGGCTACTTATTTGGAATGATAACAAGTGTGCTTTTACACTTTAGTTGCAACTTGGCAACTTGGCATGGCAAATGTTAATTAAATTATTTCATTAATTTATGTCTTGTGAAAGTGGATATGTATAAACATATGTGACATCTATCTATTGTATTATTATAATCAATATTGTGGATCAAGTTGAAGGGAAGATATCTAGATTTGATTCATGCATGCATCACTTCACTTGGACCTCGTCCAACAGCCTTTCATTATTAAGTTGCTTAAGTTATACTATATATGACAGATTAATTAAAATCACCAGTAAGTATATTGTACTTAAGCTGTTGTTATCATCTCTTTAATTAAATTGAATATTAATAGCGTATTACAAGCTACCTCTTCTAGGTGTGTTAAGCGTGCAAGAAAACTATCTATAGATGACCATTTCCATGTGTTATATATGTATGTGTGTGTGTCAATGTTCCTATATATTAAGGAGTGGTTGACTAGTTAGTTAACACTAAATGATCTCTAATAGAGAGGTTTTCTTTCTTCGATAATGTTGAGTCTTTGGTCGTGACATTAAGTTAGACGACGAATCACTACATTAATTTTTTTTTTTTTTTAGTATATGTGAACGTTTAAATATGATTTAAATAACAATTACTACTACTACTACTAATACTACTACACAATGATATTTTAGTCTTTATATCGTTTCTTCCTTTCTCATTTCCAATAATAATATTCCTTCCTACCAAACAACGTAATTTAAATTCTTACTTTATTCCACCTTATTTATTTTCTCACCGAATTACAATTTATTCCCCCTACTACTACAAATAACATTGTTAACTTATGTTATTTGAGATATACAACGTCGATTTTTTTTTCAACGTCGTTATTCCCGACGTAATAAATAAATGATACGACGTCAATTATAAAAAAACCAATGTCATATATTTGTTAATAATTTTTAACATATAAAGACAACATCGATTTTTAACCAATAACTGACATCATATGCATTTTTTAAATATAATATAGAAATACCACGTCGGTTAGATTAAATAACCGACGTGGTATCGTATTAAAAAAATTTAAAAAAAATATACGACGTCGGTTCTATTAAAGAACCGACTTCATATATGTTTATATATATATATATATATATATATATATATATATATATATATATATATATATATATATAAACATATCACGTCTGTTATTTATAAATGATCGACATGGTAAGATATTTTTAAAATTTTTTTTTTATTCAAAAACCATACCACGTCGGTCATTTATAAATTACCGATGTGGTATGTTGTTAAAAAAATTTAAAATTTTACGTAATAGCTCTCAAGAAAAGAATGGGGTATCAAACCACTCCCTGCAACCTGACACAGAAAAGACCTCCCGAGCAACAGTGTGGGCAGCATAATTTGCAGATCACTTAACAAACCGGAATTCGACATCACAAATCATTGATGTCAATTCTTTAATATGGTCAACTAAAAAATCAAAAGTAAAATTAAAAGAAGAAGAAGAAATCGCATGATAAACAATATGGGAGTGCCTCTCCACTTCTACACTACCCATACCAAACTACCAATATCCTTTAGCCAGTTCAAAGCCTCTCTGAGAGCATTCACATTAGTTGGGAAGAATGTGGGGATAATGTAAGAGTGATTAGGAAAGAGAATGCGGGAGGGGAGAAAAAAAAAAAAAAAGAGAAAATTGATTTTTTTTTTTTTTTAAAAAAAAAGAAGAGAAAATTGATTTAAAAAAAAAAAAAAAAAAAGTAATGCTGTCAGGCGCGCCGACTGGCGCCTGACGCACCACCAGGCGCGTGCACTGCACGCGCCCGGCTTTTGCCCTTCGCGCACAGCCTTACTTTTTTTTTTTTTTTTTCCTGACATTATGTCTTCATTTGCAGGACAATTATTTTTGAATTATCCCCACCCCACATTAGCTATTAACTCAATCTAGTTGGAAAGAATTCAAACTGAAATAACTCCATATTATCCACTAGTGTGGATGCTCTGAAGCTAATTGTTTCAGCTTCTTTAACACTAAAAGTACCAACCATGCATAAATTCTTTGCAGCCAAAAACACTCTTTCATCATCTTGTAAAACACATCCTAAGCCCATAGTGTTATTTGTCAGGTCCATAGTAGTGTCCGTATTTTTAAATTTTTTTAAAAACTATATACTACACCACGGCGCGCGTTGCACTGTGCGCCCAGATGCAAAACGACGTCGTTTTAATTTTTTTTTTTTTTTTTTTTTTTTTTTTTGAAATTTCCCGCCCCAGTGAATGGCAGTAATTTTTTCTTTAAAAAAAAACCCGTTGTTCAAAAATGTACATAATGTTATACTAGAATACACATAATTATATACATGAATGTACATAATTATATAACAAAATATACATACTCTTTTTAAAGATAATACACATAATCTAACATAATACATAATAAACATAAACTTTTAACATAATACACATCAACTCTTAACATAATACACACAAATTTTCTGATTCAGATGTACATAATTGTATAAAAAGAATGTACATAATTGTATAAAAAGAATGTACATAATTGTATACAAAATGCACATAACTGTATGAACAAATACACATAATTGTGTGAACAAATACACATAATCACAGCAATTTCCTACCGCGCCTCCCAAAACGACCCCAAAACGACGTTGTTTTGGGAGGCACGCGGCGCACAGTGCTATGCGCGTCGTGGTGTAGGGTATAACGATTGCTCTCTTAATTGGCACATCAATAACCCCAAAAAAAAAAAAAAAAAATACTATTAAAAATGCCCAAAGACTGTGAATACATTCACCCCTTGAGTCAAATTGGATTGTGAAGGGGACTATTTGCCTTTTGTCGTGGTTACCTACACCATTGACCCATAGTAATGCTAGGCTAGATGCAAGTTCTTTTGATATATATATATAAAAAAATCAATAATTTATTATTTAAAAAGGCGCTTTAAATAAAGTCCATATGATAACTTGAGTCGACAATGAATCATAATGCAGTAAACTAATTTAAATTGTCATAACTTAATTGTAAGTATTTGGTTGCATAAAATTGGGGAAACAACATTTTTAATCTCTTAATTGTGATCACGGTGGACATTTTAGTCTTTCAGTTATTCATGATTTAGATTTAATCCTTCAATTGTTATTAAAGTGATGAATTTTGTTCCTGACTGACTGAATCCATCGCTAATTTGCCACTTAACGAAGTGGGACAGGACCTAATCTGGCACAATAACAATTAAGCGACTAAATCTACACTATGAATAACTAAGGGACTAAACCTACCCTTTTTCCCATATAATTATGAGTTGACAAAAAAGAGATGTGTGTACTATATATTTAGTTATTTACATGGTTTTACTGAGGTATTGATTGCTGCATTAGTTTCCTTTCTGGAGCTTTCTTACACCATGTAAATGTAGGATACGGTTACTGGATTTTTAATGGCTGGAGTTGGCAACGTGGACTTAGGAGAAAAACAAACTACCTTATTGTGGATTCAAGTATGTTTTTGGCCTTGAATTCCTATCTTTCAGTTCCTTGAGCATGATTATATCACGGTAGCATGGTTAATTGCTATGTTGGTGACCAATGGGCTAAAATTTCCTGTTATAACCCAGCAGCAAGGGTGGCTCACCATTTTGTTGAATGCGGAATCTTTTTTATTTTTTTATTTTATTTTTTTTGTTGATGGATATAAGATTGAAGTTTGAGCCTTTATTGAGAGTTTATTTTTCTTTTTCATATTTGAAGTCAATTATCTATAAATTCAAAATAAAGTCATCTGTATTTTTAGCAAACTATGTAGAACAATTTTTTTTTTTAATTTATTTTTAAATTTTTTTCTCTGAGTTCTTTACCCAAAAACCAATGCTTTTAAAAAAAAAAAAAAACTTATTTTGTAAATATACTTAAATCAATTTCTTTACTTTGTTATGGTTTAGAAACTACGGTGAAACAGATTGAAGATGCTTTTAAAGAGTTCACAACGAGAGAGGACATTGCAATAGTGTTGATCAGCCAATATGTAAGCATTGCTTTATTTCCTGAATGTTATATTGACTTAAAACGGTATATATAAGACTTAAAATGACTTCATGTTTGATTTTCTGATTATTCTAAAGCAATAAAATACTTTCTTTGTTCTCAAACTGTTATTGAGTGTTGTCTTTTCACATTAGAATCATCTTTAAGTGGTTGTGTTGGTCCGTCCGCAATTGCCTTAAATCAAATCAACAATATACATTGGTTAAATTTTGCTTTGGTGTACAAAAAATGTAACTATACTAAGAAGACTATATGCGACGGGTTCGACAAAAAGAGATGTTGTCAAGAATCGAAGTCCTTTACGTACGAAGTAACATTCGTCTATTACTTTTAAGTGATAATGTAATAATATTCATTGATTTATAAAAATATATTATTATTTTATTAAAAAAGAATTACATATTTGAAATTAATGGTTATTTAGTTTTATACACGTTTTTGTATTGTAATTTTATTTTTTGCTATTTGCTTTCTTTTTGTAAGTTTAAAAAAAAAAAAGTTCATACTCCATATAAAGGTAGATAACACTATTTGTAGACAATAGTATTATTTTGTACATATTGTATAAATTATATTGTACAAAGACAAGTTAGACGATGCATGAAAACCTCATATATATAAAATCAACATGCCAATTAAATATCTCAAAAAAAGTGTCGAGCATGATTCGTATATCAAAAATCATAAGTTTGATTTTTGTCTATATATTTTTGATAGAGTCTTTCACACATTGTTCTTTTAATATTATTTATCTCTCTCTTATATGTGTTTTGTAGGTTATTATACATGAGAGGACATAAAACTTTTAGTTAATGTCTAGGATAGTCACTCTTTATTTTTGTACTATAATATTGTCATAGTTGAAAAGAAATAAAAATAATTGAATTTTATTACTCTGATTAAATACAAAATTTAAAATTTGAATTCATTACTCTAATTTGATAAAAATTTAAAACAATTTGGTAGGTTATTATTAATTTTTTTTTTTCAAAATACATGAGTTTAATACTCTATTGATTAAGCACGTTGCATAAGATCTTTATAGTGTGAATTATCTCTTATGTGTGATTTATAAAATTTGTCCAATATAATGCACATCTTCAAATAGTGACTAAGAATTTTCATCGTCACCCTCTATATATATGATTAGGAATTTTTTTTTAAAAAAATGTCATAGGATCAAGACTGCAAAAATCGCTAGGCGTTCCTCGGGAGGACGCCTAGGCGCCATTTTTTATTTTTATTTTTTTTTATTTTTATTTTTTTTCAAAAAATATATATTTAAGACTTGGTAATTATAAACTATTTAGTACTTTAATAGTTAGTACTAAAATATTACGGAGTAAATATTAACCTAAAAAATCTAAATTTGTAAATTGTATAAAGATATAAAGAATCAAAACACAACACAAAGTCACAACTCACAAATTATTAAGGGATAAAGTACAAATAAACCATTGAACTATTTGGGAAACAACAATTAAGCCACCGAACTCAAATAACCTCCAAATAAGCCACTGAACCCAAGTATTAATATTATAGTACCTGATTTCGAATTTTTTTATTACATTTTTAAGGTTTGTGACCGATTTGAACAATTTAGGATTATTTCACTAAAAGCGGCGTTAATTTGAGCAAAATAACTCATTTAAAAAAAACACAGAAAAATAATTAACCAGCATCCTAAATGCCCGCGTAGGCGTCCGCCTAGTCCGCCGCAACTTATTCGGCGCTAAAGCGATCGGCCACTTAAAATGGCGATTCCACCAAAATTCTAGGCGACCAGCCATCGCCTAGTGTCTAGACTCGATTTTTGCAATATTGCATAGGATTAGGACGGTTTCATAAGATCCATAACATAATCTACGCCAAGCCGGGAACCTGGGCAAATTATACCGTGCACCAGGGCGCACAATCTTGACCCAAAACGACGTCGTTTTTTACCTTTTATTGTGTCTGTTGTTCACTTCTTAAAAAAAAAATTCTCATGTTTCAAATGTACAGAATTGTATAATAGAATGTACAGAATTTTATAACTGAATACACATAATATTTTTTTGAAAGGATAATACGTATAATCTAACATAATACATAATACACATAAACTCTTAACATAATATACATAAACTCTTAACTCTTTAAAAAAAATTCTCATGTTTCGAATGTACAGAATTATATAATAAAATGCACAGAATTCAGAATTGTATAATAGAATGTACATAATTTTATAATAGAATATACATAATTTTTTTTGAAAGGATAAAAATTTCCTGTTTCGAATGTACAGAATTATATACCAGAATGTACAAAATTTTATAACAAAATACACATACATCTTCATCGTGTCAATTTCCCATCCAACTTAACAAAACGACGTCGTTTTGAGAGGCGCGGGGCGCACATTGCTATGTGCGCTGTGGTGCACAATATAACGATTGGGGAACTTGGGTTTAAAAAAAACATTAATCTGTAATTGGACCTGCACTTCTCTATTCACGGGCCTAGCCCTTGAGCCCATCAAGCTACAAACTCCCGACTTGATTCAGTTTATTCTTTTTTCTTCAATTTCACTGAAGAGTTTTCGTTGGAGCTCAAAACACAGGCACAAGTTAATTCTACAGGTCAAGTTCATTACTGCTCGCATTTCAGACATTCATCGCCTCTGCACTGCTCGCTTCTTCGGTTAGTCCAATTCTCTCTCTTTCTCTCTCTATGTGTGTGTATAGTGCTCCGATATTTTAAGGACCGGGATGTAGTGAAATTTCTTTGATCTGTTCTCGAACTCGTATTTACAATTCCTTGCAGATCTGCGTTTCCGGTTCCGTAATCGAAAACACATTTTTAGGGCTATTCGAATCCATGCGTCAAGGAATGACCTAAAACGAATTGAAAATTTAATTTCTGTGCGTTTTGTGTAATCGGTTGATTTGTTAGGGCGGATTAGGATTACAACATATGCCTTTTTCTCTTCCGGTTGCAATTTGAATTTCGATTTTCGGATTTACGATTAATTTGGCTCTCTAGATGAATCCGTGTAAATCTGTAATTTGCTCTACATTTTTGTGTAATTAGCTGATTTTCTGTAGCATTTGATATAATTTGCATAGAATGTGCCGTATATTGCATAGGCTTATGATTATAGATCTGGATTATAGTTTGTGATTAAAAAAAAAAAAAAAAACACAGGCACAAGGTCTGTTAATGGTGAATTTTCAGAAGTTACTCTTTTTGTTTTTCCCTCAAATCATGCTCTTTCGATTCATGTTTGTTTGGCATATAGAAGAAATTCGATCCGATTAATTGTTTTCCGGACATCGTTTTCTATGGTTTGATTAGTAGAAACTAGTTTACGTTTTTGAAATTTTCATTTTTGTTTAATCGATTATTGCAGCTGCATAAGAAAATTTGTTCAGGATGGCAAACCGACCTCAGATCCGCACTAACAACTCAGCACTCATTGCTATGATTGGTGATGAGGTAAAAGATGCTAACTTTAATTCATGACCTCTACGATAAATGTGTGTTTTGTGCAAATTTTGTGTTTTCATTGTTGTGTTATTATAGGTTTAATCTGGCTTGACTGGCATTTACATACTTCTATTGCATTTTTGCTAATGGCCTCTTAATATCCAACACATACTTAATAAAAAGGATTAATCAGTTGTTTTGGTGCAAAATCCATGAAAGCAGTTAAGGGTTTAAACTGTTGGAGTGTAAAATGTCTTAGTACAATTCTTCTCTACTGATGTGCCATGGCAATTTAGTTTGACATAAACACAGATTGTAAGTATTTGGTTGCATATAATTGGGGAAACAACATTTTTAGTCTCTTAATTGTGACCACGGTGGACATTTTAGTCTCTCAGTTATTCATGATTTAGATTTAATCCCTCAATTGTTATTAAAGTGATGGATTTTGTTCCTGACTGACTGAATCCATCGCTAATTTGCCACTTAACGAAGTGGGACAGGACCTAATCTGGCACAATAACAACTAAGCGACTAAAACTACACTATGAATAACTAAGGGACTAAACCTACCCTTTTTCCCATATAATTTATGAGTTGACAAAAAAGAGATGTGTGTACTATTTACATGGTTTTACTGAGGTATTGATTGCTGCATTAGTTTCCTTTCTGGAGCTTTCTTACACCATGCAAATGTAGGATACGGTTACTGGATTTTTAATGGCTGGAGTTGGCAACGTGGACTTGAGGAGAAAAACAAACTACCTTATTGTGGATTCAAGTATGTTTTTGGCCTTGAATTCCTATCTTTCAGTTCCTTGAGCATGATTATATCACGGTAGTATGGTTAATTGCTATGTTGGTGACCAATGGGCTAAAATTTCCTGTTGTAACCCAGCAGCAAGGGTGGCTCACCATTTTGTTGAATGCGGAATCTTTTTTTTTTTTTTTTTTTTTTGTTGATGGATATAAGATTGAAGTTTGAGCCTTTATTGAGAGTTTATTTTTCTTTTTCATATTTGAAGTCAATTATCTATAAATTCAAAATAAAGTCATCTGTATTTTTAGCAAACTATGTAGAACAGTTTTTTTTTTTAAAAAAAATTTTTTTCTCTGATTTCTTTACCCAAAAACCAATGCTTTAAAAAAAAAAAAAACTTATTTTGTAAATATACTTAAATCAATTTCTTTACTTTGTTATGGTTTAGAAACTACGGTGAAACAGATTGAAGATGCTTTTAAAGAGTTCACTACGAGAGAGGACATTGCAATAGTGTTGATCAGCCAATATGTAAGCATTGCTTTATTTCCTGAATGTTATATTGACTTAAAACTGTATAATGCATTAACACCACTCCACTAGGAATGTTTACGGGCTAACAGCTCCTTTAATGCTTTACAATCATTTGTTCTTGAGACTAAGCTATAATCATTTCCGCTGCACTTCAATGTTCAGGTTGCGAACATGATAAGGTTTTTGGTTGATGGTTATAACACGCCGATACCAGCCATCCTGGAGATTCCTTCAAAGGACCATCCCTACGATCCTGCACAGGATTCTATTCTTTCACGAGTGAAGTACCTCTTCTCTACCGAATCTGTGGCATCTGGACGACGTTGAACTTGATGATTCTTGTTTCTAAACTGCCCTTTTAGAGTTTAGACTCTACTCATCTGCACCTGCATTTATTTAAATTCATTTTTGAGTAATAATTCCTTGTGCTGGTTGTTACTATATCTATATGTTTTGCCAGCAAACTGAAAATTTGTAGCATGGAGATCAGAGTACCTAGGTCACCTGCTTGACATTTTCCTTGTGGTTTACACTCACAGGATGCAATAAAATGATTTATACCCCAGAAAGGGTAGAGAACATCCATCTTTGAGCTTCTTAGTTCTTATCATTTGTACTGCTTATATTTCAACTTCCCCAAATTGTTCAATCTTTCAACCCATCAGAACCACTTATTTTTAACATATTTCTTTTGAAACAATAAAATAAAGTTAAGTTGTGTGCACAACACTTTGAGCTCAACAGGTGTATGTTGCCATACAATGCATGTGTTCGCTAAAAGGTTGAATTCCTAACCCCAAGGGATCTTGTATGGGTTCTAAACTTCTAATATGTTAGGTGGGAGTGTCAGTGAGTCGAAGCCTGCGGGTTAGTCCTAAATCGCCTCTCAGTGGGGAAGGTTAGGGCCTAATTTTTTGGCCTGTAAAAATGCGGCCCTCGTGGGCTTGACCCACGTGGACTGAAGCGCTATATATGCAGGTTAGCCCGTGAGCTTCAAAGTTATGTACTCATAGCTTCAAAGTTATGCACTTTAAGATTCAAGGTTTTGCACTTCAAGGGTTAAATATATAGACCAAATTAAAGATTTTCGTTTGGTTCGCGGAAAATATTTTAAGGGAAATAGAATTGGAATTCCATGAAAAAACAATTACTAGGAAGATGAATTTCATTGTTTGGTTGGTGGAAAAAGAATTATTGGGAATACTAATTCTATTGTTTGGTTAGATTTGAAATTGTAAGAAATAATGAGTATAAAGACCTATATGTCCCTACACATTGATAAAAGTAATATAATTAAAAAAGAAAGCAAGGGTAAAATAGACAATCTATTCACTTTTTCTTCTCATCTTCCATGGAAAACAAAATCCTTGGTCCAACCAAGAATTTTGTTTTCCTCAAATTTGAGGAATTTATTTTCCAATGGAAAATGAATTTCATGAACCAAACACTAGAAAATAACATTTTCCTTCACTTTAGAAAATGTTTTAATTTGATAACTCAATTACAATTTGTTGTGTAGTTGAATGGTCTATCTAACCCTTTATTTCAAATTTTAGTGATTCTAATTTTATGCGAGGCCCAACTAGTCGTAGAAAAAGGTAATCACCATAACCGGACCTATTCACTGGCCTATCCCATTTAGCGATTCGTCTTTCTTCAATTTCACAGAGTTTTCGTTGGATTTACCGATTTACACCAATTGAAGTCCAAACACTACCAGGAACAAGGTGTCTATTTAACGGTGAATTTTTAGGTATTTTTCCTTTCCTTTTGCCCCAAATCATGCTCTTTAGATTCATGTTGATTTTTGTCATATAAAATTAGCGCGATCCGATCAATTGTGTTCCGAGCTTTGTTTTCTATGGTCTGATTATCAGAAGCTAGCTTAAACGTTTCGAAATTTTCAATTTTGTTTGATCGATTATTGCAGCTGCATAAGCAAATTTGTTTAGGATGGCAAACCGACCTCAGATCCGCACCAGCAACTCGGCACTCATTGCTATGATTGGCGATGAGGTAAAGGATGCTAACTTTAATTGATTTACTCTACGATAAATGCCAGTTTTGTATTGCTTTGTGCAAATTTTGTGTTTAGGGGATTATTCTGTGGCTTGACTTGCAACACTTTAGAATCAAATCATGATTTTCATGTATGTTTTCATACTTAAATTGTATTTTTGGTAAAATTTCCTGCTAGTATTCAGTTTATACTTAAAGAAAGGTCAATCAATTGTTTTCCTGCAAAATCCATGAAACCAATTAAGGATGGAAGCTGTTGGAGTGTGTTCGGTAAAATGTATAAGTACCACCAGTTCTTTTGTGATTCTCTGCTGAAGTGCCATGGGAATTTAGTTGTCACATGAACACAGATTTACAAGTGTTTGGTTGCATATAATTTATGGATGGACAAACGAGATGTGCGTTCTAAGTTTCTCGGTTTTACTGAGGTGTGGTTTGCTGTATTTGTTGCCGCTCTTGAGATTTCTTACAATATGCAAATGTAGGATACGATCACTGGATTTTTAATGGCTGGAGTTGGCAACATGGACTTGAGGAGAAAAACAAACTACCTTATTGTGGATTCAAGTATGTTTTTTGGTCTTGAATTCCTATCTTTCAGTTCCTTGAGCATGATTGTATACAATAGCATGATTAATCACTATGTTGATGACCAATGGACTAAAATTTCCTGTTGTAACCCAGCATCAAAGGTGCCTCACAATTTTGTTGAAAAGTGTGACATTTGAATCTTTATCAAGAGTTTGTTTTTCTTTTTCATATTTGAATTCAAATATCTGTAAATTCAAAATAAAACCATCTTTATTGTTAGCAAACTATGTAGAATAGTTAGTTCATTTTCACTCGTAAATTCCAGCTTTATCAGTGGAAAAGTAAGCAGACATAGCCTGGTTTTTGTTTTCTCTGATTTCTTCATCCAAAACCAATATTATTTTTTTAATAACTTTTTTTGTAAAGAAGTTTGAATCAATTTATTTTCCTTGTTATGGTTTAGAAACAACGGTGAAACAGATTGAAGATGCTTTTAAAGAGTTCACTACAAGAGAGGACATTGCAATAGTGTTGATCAGCCAATATGTAAGCGTTATTTTATTTCCTGAATGTTATATTGACTTGGTTTAAGCTTCCTCCTCGTCCATTATGTCGTGTATGTTGCATAGATAAATGACACTGTCATGGAACAATATTACAATCTGGAAAAGTTTTATACATCTGGAAATTGAAAAAAATAATGCATTGGATTTTTTTTAATCAAATCGTTGTGAAGGAATGTTTACGAGCTAACAGCTCCCTTAACGTTTTGCAATCATTTGTTCTTGAGATTAAGCTATAATCCTTTCCACCGCACTTCAATGTTCAGGTTGCAAACATGATAAGGTTTTTGGTTGATGGTTATAACACGCCGATACCAGCCATCCTGTAGATTCCTTCAAAGGACCATCCCTACGATCCTGCACAGGATTCCATTCTTTCACGGGTGAAGTACCTCTTCTCTACCGAATCTGTGGCATCTGGAAGGCGTTGAACTACATGTTTTGAGTAACAATTCTGTATGCTTGTTACTAGACCTATATGTTTTGCCAGCAAAGTGAAAATTTGTACTGCTTGACATTTTCCTTGTGGTTTAGGATTCTCAGGCTGCAAATTTGTGTTTCCATCGTGTTGTATGATTGTGGGTTCAAACTGGGATTGGATAAAATATGTTCATGTACATTGGTTAAATTGACTTGAAGTGTCAACACTTTGAATCAAATCTTGAGTTTTTTGTATATTTTCTTACTTATTTTGTGTTTTTAAGGGAAGGGACACCCCTCAAAAACAAAACTATCTATCAAAGAACATCCATCCTAGTGTGGTATATCATTTAGTTTTCAAAAATGGTGATTTTTCAGTCTTTAATAAAATATCTATAATTTAAGGAACAAAAGTACCAATCATGCATAAATTCTTTGCTGGCAAAAAACACTCTTTCATCATCTTGTAAAACCCATCCTAAGAGCATCTACATCAGTAGATAATAAGGGGAGATTGCAGCATTAGTTCACCCACTTCAAGTTTATAGCTGATGTAGGGGAGAATTAATTTGGGGAGAATTCATCTGCAAAAACAAAAATAATGTCAGAAAAAGAGAAAATGAAGAAACAAGCTGCTGTGCGCGTTTTGCGCACAGCAGCAGCCCACACGGGCGCGTACAATGCACTCGCCCGAGGGCACGTCAGGCGCGCCTGAACCTTCTTTTTTTTTTTTTTTTTCGTTTTTTAATTTTGATTTTTTTCCGTCCCCTTCCCACATTCTTTTTCTTAATCACTCTTACATTATCCCCCATTCTCCCCAACCATTGTGGATGCTCTAAGCCCATAGCGTTATTTGTCAGGTCCATAGCAGCGTCCGTATTTTTAAATTTTTTAAAAAACTATATCTACGTCAGTTGTTAAAAAAAAAAAAAAAAAAAAAAAAAAAAAAAAAAAAAAAAAAAAACGACCTTGTATATTTATATTATTTTTAAATATAAAATTTATTTTATTATTTCTTCTCAAAAATTCAAAACAGTTATACAATTCATATAAACATTCAACCTGTGCAATTTTACATTTCTACAAATTAGAAACCTACAACAATTCTTAAATTTTGAAATATATACACAATAATTTCTAAAATTCAACATATATACACAACAATCACTAAAATTCAAAATATATACTAAATAATTTTTAAAATTCAAAATATATACATAATAATTCATAAAATTTGAAGTGTGTGTGTGTGTGTGTATATATATATATATATATATATATATATATATATATATATATATATATATATATATATATATATATATATATATATATATATATATATATATATATATATGTTAATTCTAAAATATTTGAAATATATACACAATAATTTATAAAATTCAAAAAATATATATATAATAATTCAAAAAATTCAAAATATATATTCAATAATTTCTAAAATTTGAAATTATATGTTTTTTTTTAAAAAAATTTTTGTCAGATTCCTTTTTTTTTCCTTTTCCTTTTTCTTCCCTCAGCTCTCCTCTCTCTTAATTGGCACCTCAAGAACCAAAAAAAAAAAAAAAAAAAAAAAAAACAATTAAAAATGCCCAACGACTATGAATGCATTCACCCCTTGAGTCAAATTGGAATTGGATTGTGAAGGGACGCCCTTTGTCGTGGTTACCTACACCATTGACCCATATATAGTAATGCTAGGCTAGATGCAAGTTCTTTTGATTTATAAAAAAAAAAATCAATAATTTATTATTTAAAAGGGCGCTTTAAATAAAGTTCATCTATTAAGTGGTTTGTGGTCCATTAGTATTGAGTTGCTCCCCTAAGTTGGAGGTGTAAGGTTCGAACCTCACTTGAGGTAAGTAGTGTGCCTATATATAGGGTATCCCCATCTTATATAACTTGAGTTGATAAGAGAGTAAACTAATTGCGATTGCCATTAACTTATTGTAGAACCAGCTAGCTAGGGCTTTTATGCATTGTCCAATTGCGATTGCCATTAACTTAAGCTAGGGCTTTTATGCATTGTCCAATTGCGATTGCCATTAACTTATTGTAGAACCATGGACAATTGCATTGTCCAACCGTTCAGATACTCTCCATTATATTATATAATTAAGCTTAGTTTTCTCAATACAATCTATTTACGTATGTTCCATTCAACATGGTATAATATGACACATTTCTTGAATCTTGTGATCAATTACTACTAAAACTCATTCGATTTGCATCTTAGTTATCATTGAATATATAGTTTCTTAGTCGGAGCAACATTAACTAAGTTAGTCAAATTGTTGACTTAATAATTATAAAGTTACCAGTTATACTCCTACTAGTTGACTAGTTGTTAGAGTACTCCTACCAAACTACTTATTAACTTCCTTAATTTTAATCAATCAAGTTTACGTTTTGATAGTGAGATTTACACCTTAGAATAGTGATTGCGAGTTTTCCATCCTCACAAAGAATATATAATTCCTTGATCACTTGCATTGCTACTATCGATAATTTCCATGTTTCTCAACAGCAGCTCAACCTTACTACCTTGTCTTTAGCTTTACCGGTCAGATACCGTCGATATATACAACCCAAATGCAGCGTCTTATATATATGTCATTCCGCCACCCCACTGTATCTTCAATCACAATAAATGGGAGAATTATTGGGCCGTTTCTTGCCGGAAAATATCAGGCCGGACGACGCGAATCCGCCATGGATGAACAAAGGCGACAATGCATGGCAGCTAACCTCCGCAACCTTCGTCGGCCTCCAAAGCATTCCCGGCCTGGTTATCCTCTACGGCAGCATCGTCAAGAAGAAATGGGCCGTCAACTCCGCCTTCATGGCGCTCTACGCCTTCGCCGCCGTCTTGGTTTGCTGGGTTGGTTGGGGCTATCAGTTGGCCTTCGGCGCCTCACTTTCTCCGTTCATCGGAAAGCCCAGCGGCGGCGCGATGGACCAGAATTTCCTCCTCAGGCAGGCGTTCATCGGAAAGTTCCCCAACGCCACCATGATTTACTTCCAGTTCGTCTTCGCCGCCATCACCATGATTCTCCTCGCCGGCGCGTTGCTGGGACGGATGAATTTTCTCGCGTGGATGCTTTTCGTTCCTCTCTGGCTTACTTTTTCGTACACCGTTTGCGCTTTTAGTATTTGGAGTCCCGGCGGTTGGCTGTTTAAGATGGGAATAATTGACTACTCCGGCGGCCTAGTCATCCACCTCTCCTCCGGCGTGGCCGGTTTCACCGCCGCGTACTGGGTGGGCCCACGCGCGGCGAGAGATCGGGAGAGGTTCCCGCCGAACAACATCCTCCTAATGCTCGCCGGCGCCGGAATATTATGGATGGGTTGGACGGGGTTCAACGGCGGCGATCCTTACGTCGCCAGCGCCGACGCCTCCCTGGCGGTGCTCAACACGCACATATGCGCGTCGGCGAGTTTGCTGACGTGGCTTTTATTAGACATTCTCTTCTACGAGAAGCCCTCCGTGATCGGCGCTACGCAAGGGATGATCACCGGCCTAGTTTGCATCACGCCGGCCGCCGGCGTCGTGCAAGGCTGGGCGGCGATCATAATGGGAATTCTCTCCGGCAGCCTCCCCTGGTTCAGCATGATGTTCGTACACAAAAGAGTAAAGCTCCTGAAACAAGTGGACGATACCCTAGCGGTTTTCCACACCCACGCCGTCGCCGGAAGCCTCGGCGCGATCCTCGCCGGGTTTTTCGCGAACCCTAAACTCAGCCGCATCTTCTACGGCGTTCCCGACTGGGAAAAGCTGATCGGTTTAGCTTACGGGCTCCACAACCACCGCATCGCCGCCGGGCTCCGCCAGATGGGGATTCAGTTGGTCGGGATCGGATTCGTGGTCGTGTACAACGTTGTTGTCACGAGCTTGATTTGCTTGGTAGTAAAGCTGGTAGTTCCGTTAAGGTTAACGGAAGAACAGTTGATTGTTGGGGACAGTGCTGTTCATGGAGAAGATGCATATGCACTGTGGGGGGATGGAGCAAAGCTTGAAACCTCAAGAAACATTCATTCTAACTCCAACAAGATTCATTCTGCCATTCAACTTGAAGACCACCCACTACCAAAAACTCCAATTTCTATCATTTCCCAACCCGAATCTGAATTAATCTCACAATAATCAAATATCAAATGTTATAAAACTAAGAACTAGATGCTTGAGTTAAAGCACGAGCAACCCGATTCACTGATCTAGAAACGTAACTAATGGAAACAATTCTGAAGAGCTAATAAAACGTTTACAATTATCAATAATATAATACCTTTATAAAAAAGATTATTTTGCGAACTAAGCAAGCACCATTTCAAGGAAGGCAGTCTATCTCCAAGATAATTGCAAAAAACAAGTTAAATGAACCTAATGCAATTAAGTGACTTTGTTTGTTATCCTAAATCAATAATGAAGTTAAGAAGATTAGACTTTGTTTAGTAAATGACTATTAGTCGATTGGGTTAGAGAGTATAACTAATTAAAAATATTAGTTGATTGTAAAAAAAGTGTTTAATTAATTGTTTGGTATAATTTCTTTTTTCTCAAAATTTTTTTTTGAATTTTAACATTTTAAAATTACAAAAAAACTGATTAACCAAACACTTATATTAATTTTTTAATCAAGTCAAACAATTAATAATGATCAAATAAACCAAAATTGACTGACTATTTTACCATAAATCATTTTAGTTAAGAGAAAAATCTAATTACAGTCTAGTGATATGCACATAATAAATCTCATTTAATTTTTGTATAATAACTCACAAACCATTGTACTAGAATAGATAAACATGCCTAGCATTACAATGTAATACATTGTTCATATCAAATGTAAAGTTAATCTTATCCAACAAACAATGTTCGTTAATCCTAACAAATGAAAGTAAAAACAAGCCTACAAATTGAAGAAAACTATGCTAAATGAACACCGGCATACGAGCAAGCTAGGATTAAGGCGGCAGAGCCCCTGAAGAAGAAGAAGTTGATTATTCCTTGTTGGTTTTGTTGATGAGGGATTTGTGAATGTGAGGGATGACGCCGCCGCCGGCGATGGTTCCTTTGATGAGGGTGTCGAGCTCTTCATCGCCGCGGATGGCGAGCTGCAAGTGCCTTGGCGTGATTCTCTTCACCTTCAGATCTTTGCTGGCGTTTCCGGCCAACTCCAGCACCTCCGCCGTCAAATACTCCAGGATTGCGGCGGTGTAAACCGCCGCCGTTGCTCCAACTCTCCCGTGGGCTGAGGTTCGGGTCTTCAGCTGACGGTGAATCCTGCCCACCGGAAACTGCAATCCCACCATTTTAGTTTCTATTACACAACCTATAATCATCACATATATGCTATAAAGTCTTCCTATTGTTTCTATTACAAATTTTACACTACAATACTAAAAAATTAAGTGATAGACAAAACTCTTTGAGTTCTTATTTAGGTCATTTATGACCATTATATTGTGATCTGAAATAGACGTAATAGATTTTAAGTACTTTATAATGATAACACATACTGTTGCAAAAATCACAACTAGACGCTGATTAATCAGCACCTAAGTACTAGGCAATGCCTCCTAGGTGCCCGCTTAGGCGCTTAGCAATTTTTTCAACATTGATAACACATAAGCTATTTAAGCACAGTCCTATTGATACCATGATTGAAAAAATCGTTCAGGGCATTTAAGAATCGTCTAAGCGCCGATTAATCAGTGTCTAAGCAAGATTTTTGCAACACTTATTAATACTGTTACGATTTCACACTACAACATCTAGCTACACACAAAATTAAGTGATAGGCAAAACTCTAAAAATTCTATAGTTCTTTAACTAAGACAATGTAAGTAACAACTATGGCCGAAGGTGCTCAATGCTTTCTGAAATTAGATAAATTATTGCGTTTTACATGTATAATACATGTATGTGCCTTTTGTATATATCTAAACACAGATTTCATATGACAATCACAATAATAATTCCTTAACCGAGTCAAACAAAGGCAATAGTTCCAGTTTATTCATGTTAAAGGGAGCAGAGATATACTATACCTGGAGACCGGCGCGAGAAGACCGAGAGACCGGCCTTTTCTTGTCCTTATCCTTGCTGGCTGCCGCCGCCGCCGCAGCCGCCGTTGTCTTTCCGGCCAAAAGCCCCTTCCCACCTTTTCCGGCCATTATATCACCCTGAACAACAAATCAACCACCAGAAAACTAAAATTCAGTTCTCCTTGTCAAAGAAATCGCACAATCATAGCTCAAAAACATCAGAGTAAGCATAGACAGAGCAACTAACAAGGCAACGGAGGAAACGACGATGGAGAGATCGAAATACCTTAGGAATTCCGAAGATGAGAGGAGAATGAAGAACTGAAGAAGATTAACGAATAACGAGAAGTGCGAGATCTGTTGGTGGATTTCTGGCTCAGCTTTTATTGGCGGATATTTTTGGTGGGAATATGAAATTTTTAGATTTTCAAAATTTTGCCGCTTTATGGATTTGCCCTCCTTTTTTCACTTAATACCCGGTTTTCCCCATACCAAATCTCATGTTCACGTGGGCCATAATTGTCCAGTATTAATACCAAATGTATAATGTTGTAAGAACATCCACATTTGTAAATTTTTTTCATAACAAAAAACTAAATGATAGTTTTTTATTAATGTGGAGATGAATTTTTAGAATGTTTTTTTTTTCTTGCAAATGTAGTATTTTTGTGGACTCTTCATTTGAGAGAAAATTGAAAAGACATATGAATTCTGTGCGTGGAGTGCGTTTTTGTTTCCGTTCTAAGCTTTATTTATTTTTCTACTTTTTTGTTGCTCCTGTCAGATTAGTTTTTTTATTTTCTTTTTTTTCTTCTCATTTTTTCTTGACCTCTTTATCTTTCCTACATGAAGTTTAAAAATCCGTGAAAATGTGTGAGCTGATATGGATGCTCTAAGGCACACATAGTTGTAAAACGATCACATTCATCTTGGAAAGCCACAATCAACTTGAGGAGGTAAATTGTGAATCCCTAAATCAACTTCTTATCAAATTGGAACCCAAATTTTATTATGGAGAACCTTCACATTATTCTTAGAGTGATGACTTTATGTCAAATAGTCTACCATTGAGCTAGCTTTGCGGGGCTTCACAATCATTATTTGATGATATATGATTAGTTCGGATATTAGGCATGGTCACTCCACCCAAGAGGTCGTACTCGAAGTTGATTGAGTATGCTCGGTCACTTGGGCAATCAAAAGGGTTAATGGAGTGGCATGACAGTTACGAAGTAAATGCATCCAACTCTTTGTTTTCTCACCCAATAATTGAGGCTTAAATTATGACAGTTATTTTATTAATTCATATATAATACTTAGTGGCATTTATGAGTTTATCTATGAGTAAAATAGTTGTATAAAAATCTCTGAATAAAAGGACATTGAAACTTTACTATGGGAGAACAAGGTCATACGTTCTAGGATGAAACAAATCACGATGGTTCGATGGATAATGACTAATGAGTAGTTTGGGGGTCCCCTCCAATTTGATTTAAAATACCCGTGGATATATAAGACTTAAAATGGCTCCATGTTTGACTTTCTGATTATTCTAAAGTAATAATATACTTTCTTTGTTCTCAAAGTATTCTTGAGCGTTGTCTCTTCACATTAGAATCATCTTAAGTGGTTGTGTTGGTCCGCCCGCAATTGCCTTAGGTCAAATCAACAATATACATTGGTTAAATTTTGCTTTGGTGTATAAAAGATGTAACTATATTAAGAAGACTATATGCGACGGGTTCAACAAAAAAAAAAAATTGTCAAGAATCGAACTCCTTTACGTACGAAATAACATTCGTCTATTACTTTTAAGTGATAATATAATAATATTAATTCATTGATTTTTAAAAATATATTATTATTATTATTATTATATTATTATTATTTTATTAAAAAAGAATTACATATTTGAAATTTATGGTTATTTAGTTTTATACACGTTTTTGTATTGTAATTTTATTTTTTGCTATTTGCTTTCTTTTTGTAGGTTAAAAAAAGTTCATACTCCATATAAAGGTAGATAACACTATTTGTAGACAATAGTATTATTTTGTACATATTGTATAAATTATATTGTATAAAGACAAGTTTGACGATGCTTAAAAACCTCCTATAAAATCAACATATCAATTAAATATTTCAAAAAAGGTGTCAAGCATGATTCGTAAATCAAAAATCATAAGTTTGATTTTTGTCCATACATTTTTGATTGAGTCTTTTACACATTGTTCTTCTAATATTATTTATCTATCTCTTATATGTGTTTTGTAAGCTATTATACATGAGAGGACATAAAACTTTTAGTTAATGTATGTCATAGAGGATAGTCACTCTTTATTTTTGTACTATAATATTGTCATAGTTAAGAAATAAAAATAATTGAATTTTGTTACCCTGATTAAATAAAAATTATAAAATTGGAATTCATTACTCTAATTTGATAAAAATTTAAAACGATTTGGTATGTTATTATTAATTTGTCAAGCACATTGTGCTTGAATGACATGTAGTGATCTCTTCTATGTGGAGGGTCATGAGATCGAGTCTCAATGGAGGCGTTGTTGACTCTGTGTGCTTCATTAGGTTGAGAAAGTATGTTTGAATAGATACTACAATGTATAGTAATAGAGTCAGTAGCATTCCAAAAGTTAAAAAAATGTCATAGGATCTGTGAAGGAATTAACTGAAGTAGGAAGTTACAACCAAATAACTAGTCTACAGAAGCACAAATAGAACAAGTAACAACTAAAGAGATTCTAGCACAAATAGAACAAGTAACAAAAAAGTTAAAAAAAATGTCATAGGATCAAGGTTGCAAAAATCGCTAGGCGTTCCTCGAGAGGACGCCTAGGCGCCTCTTTTTTTTTAAAAAAAAAAGATTTTTTCAAAAAAAATTATTTAAGACTTGGTAATTATAAACTATTTAGTATTTTAATAGCCAGTACTAAAATATTAAATATTAACTTAAAAAAATCTAGAATTGTAAATTGTATAAAGATTTAAATAATCAAAACACAACCCAAAGTCACAACTCACAAAGTATTAAGGGATAAAGTACAAATAAACCATTGAACTATTTGGGAAACGACAATTAAGCCATCGAACTCAAATAACCTCCAAATAAGCCACTGAACCGAGGTATTAATATTAAAGTACCTGATTTCGAATTTATTTATTACATTTTTAAGGTTTGCGACCGATTTGAACAATTTAGGGTTATTTCACTAAAAGCGGCGTTAATTTGAGCGAAATAACTCATTTAAAAAAACACAAAAAAATAATTAACCGGCATTCTAAATGCCCGCCTAGTCCGCCGCAACTTAATCGACGCTAAAGCGACCAGCCACTTAAAATGGTGATTCCACCGAAATTCTAGGCGACCAGCCATCGCCTAGCGTTTAGACGCGATTTTTGCAATATTACATAGTATTAGGACGGTTTCATAAGATCAATAACATAATCTACGCCAAACCGGGAACTTGGGCAAATTATACCGTGCAACAGGGCGCACAATGCATTTTGCGCCCTGACCCAAAACAACGTCGTTTTGTACATTTTCCTGTGTCTGTTGTTCACTTCTTAAAAAAAATCTCATGTTTCGAATCTATAGAATTGTATAATAGAATGTACAGAATTTTATAATTGAATACAAATAATCTTTTTTGAAAGAATAATACATATAATCTAACATAATACACATAAACTCTTAACTCTTTTAAAAAAATTCCCATGTTTCGAATGTACAGAATTATATAATAGAATGAACAGAATTGTATAATAGAATGTACATATTTTTATAACAGAATACACATAATTTTTTTTGAAAAGATAAAAATTTCCTATTTCGAATGTACATAATTGTATAACAGAATACACATACATTTTCTTCGCGTCAATTCCTCACCCAACTTAACAAAATGACATCGTTTTAGAAGGCGTGGAGCGTAAATTACTATGTACACCGTGGTGCACGGTATAACGGCTAGGGAACTTTGGGTTTAAAAATAGAAAACATGAATCTGTAATTGGACCTGCGCTTCTCTATTCACGGGCCTAGCCCATGAGCCCATCAAGCAACAAACTCCCCGACTTGATCCAGTTCATTCTTCTTTCTTCAATTTCACTGAAGAGTTTTCGTTGGAGCTCAAAACACAGGCACAAGGTCTGTTAATGGTGAATTTTCAGAAGTTACTCTTTTTGTTTTTCCCTCAAATCATGATCTTTCGATTCATGTTTTTTTGGCATATAGAAGAAATTCGATCCGATTAATTGTTTTCCGGACATCGTTTTCTATGGTTTGATTAGTAGAAACTAGTTTACGTTTTTGAAATTTTCATTTTTGTTTAATCGATTATTGCAGCTGCATAAGAAAATTTGTTCAGGATGGCAAACCGACCTCAGATCCGCACTAACAACTCAGCACTCATTGCTATGATTGGTGATGAGGTAAAAGATGCTAACTTTAATTCATGACCTCTAGATAAATGTGTGTTTTGTGCAAATTTTGTGTTTTCATTGTTGTGTTATTATGGGTTAATCTGGCTTGACTGGCACTTACATACTTCTATTGCATTTTTGCTAATGGCCTCTTAATATCCAACACATACTTAATAAAAAGGATTAATCAGTTGTTTTGGTGCAAAATCCATGAAAGCAATGAAGGGTTTAAACTGTTGGAGTGTAAAATGTCTGGGTAACAATTCTTCTCTACTGATGTGCCATGGCAATTTAGTTTATGACATAAACACAGATTGTAAGTATTTGGTTGCATATAATTGGGGAAACAACATTTTTAGTCTTTAATTGTGACCATGGTGGACATTTTAGTCTCTCAGTTATTCATGATTTAGATTTAATCCCTCAATTGTTATTAAAGTGATGGATTTTGTTCCTGACTGACTGAATCCATCACTAATTTGCCACTTAACGAAGTGGGACAGACCTAATTTGGCACAATAACAACTAAGCGACTAAATCTACACTATGAATAACTAAGGGACTAAACCTATCCTTTTTCCCATATAATTTATGAGTTGACAAAAGAGAGATGTGTGTACTATTTACATGGTTTTACTGAGGTATTGATTGCCGCATTATTTGCCTTTCTGGAGCTTTCTTACACCATGCAAATGTAGGATACGGTTACTGGATTTTTAATGGCTGGAGTTGGCAACGTGGACTTGAGAAGAAAAACAAACTACCTTATTGTGGATTCAAGTATGTTTTTGGCCTTGAATTCCTATCTTTCAGTTCCTTGAGCATGATTAATTGCTATGTTGGTGACCAATGGGCTAAAATTTCCTGTTATAACCCAGCAGCAACGTGGACATGAGCCCATCAAGCAACAAACTCCCCGACTTGATCCAG